ATTTATTGTAGCAATTAATGTATGACTTGTAAGTCTTTCTTGACTTGTCATTGAGTCTTTTCATTTTGAGGCAGTGTCTTATCTGTCTTTTTATTTTGGGTGGTGTCTTAGCTGTTTTTTTGAGATGTTTCGCCAATTAGTTTTAGTATTTTTCTTAGCTTGAATGATGCGATTGAATTTAACAAATTGTTGCAAGTTAAAGAAAAATTATACAAATGGTTTTCTTGATGTAGATATGAAGCTTGACTTCCTTTAAATTCGTTCTTAAGTGGTTAATGACAAAAGTCACTGTTACGGTAAAAAGAAGGAGCCTTCATATTGGTGAAATCACCAATTTCTTGTATACTTAGGATTTGGCTTTTGTATTTTGTAGACTTTCTTCACATTGATTTAGGGGTGGTAATTGAATCAAACTTATTTTAATTTGATAACGTTCAAGCTCGGTTTTAATTGTGACTAATCGAGTTTGAGACACTCCATGACACATATACTCTTTTTAAAGTCCCTTCACAGTGTTTTTTATATTGACTAAAAGTATCTTCAACCCTTACTCAAATTAAATTTGAGTAAAAAAAATTAAAAAACTTATTTTAACCTTTGACTCAAACTTATACCAAGTCAATGGAGACATTTTTTTTATTTAAATAAAAGGATACTCAAATCTTTAATAATGAAATTTTATTCTATTTTAAAGATCCAATGATCATATTTATTTTCTTTTAAAATTGAGTTTACCCACATTTAAATTTGAGTTTCTTTTTCTTATTTGAGTTTGTTCATTAGAGTTATTTGTATTAAATTAAATTTTTTACTCGAATGATAATTTAAATTTGAATAAAAATTTAAGTCATAATTAAAGATGTCGTAAGAAGTAACTATTGGCCTTAACGTGATTGAAGGGGAAATTATAAAAATTTAGAGTAATACTACACTGATCAAATTTTGGAACTAAATTTGGAACTCAAATGATATGACAGCTGACTTAGGCTTCTTTATTTGGAGCCATGTTATTTGGGTCTCAATAAAGACTCTAAATAATATGTTGTCAAGTTATTTGAACTCAAAATTTAATCTCAAAATTTGATTAACATAACATTACTGAAAAATTTATGTAGCCTCAATGGACTTAGACTCTTACGTCTTTATTGATGGAACCCCCACACCCACCTCTCCCGTCATTTTTGGCTTACCAATCTGACTTTTTATTTTGAACAAGAAGGTGCAGGGATGCATTGCATCGATAAGGTAATGTGACAAATATTATTGTGATTACAATAATATTTCTTATCTTTTTGATATTGTTTTTACTTTATTGGTCAAGTTTATTGCTGATTGTATAAAAAAAATCATTTACCTATATTTTTTTAGTGTAAAAGTGTATTTGCAAAACAAGATTTCAAACACTTTTAATTTAAAAAGTGTGTTTACAAATCACATTTTTTTGTTATTACTAAACGCATCTTTTACAAATTCATGTTTACATTGTCTTCATTTTCTAAATGTTAGCGGTTCCCGCTTCATTCGTCTAAAACTCAAGGGTTTGAATGATTTTTACCCTAAATACAATCATATTAAATCTTACTTTCAAATTTGGTAGTATGATCTGGTTTTTGGAATAAATTATAAAATCAATATCTTTATCCAAATAAATAAGATGTGCAACTCAATTGCCCATTTTGAGAGTTATATAGTATGCATAAAACCACTTTGTAAATATACAATGGCCTTGTAATTGTTTAAAATTACAAAATCTCATTGTCTTATGTTTCCACTTCTCTTCGGAACCATTCAATACTGATCAACACCACCTCCATTCCACTTTCATCTCCAGAAAAATCCAATCAGAACAATAATCCAGTTCATTATAATTTTTAACAAGGACACATTTCACTGTGCATTAACCATAAAAATCGTTTGATCACACAATATTCTTTTACCGAAGGACTTGAAGTTGTTGAGAGATTGGTTATAACCTATAGAGGGATGATTGCTCAAAAAAAAAAACCTATAGAGGGATGAAGAGAAGTTCAAATGAGTGGCACAAGCTTAGTTATGTTTCGAGATGTTGCTTCAATCAATTTTGGTGTTTTTCTACGCTTGAATGCGACAATTGAATTTGAAGGAACTGTTGTATGTTAGAAAAAAATGATAAAAATGATTTTATTCACATAGATTAGGAGCTTCTTTTACATTTCATTTTTTGAAGCATGTCATTAGTGTTAATCTTACTATGCACAACTGACTATGCAAATCTTTGTATAAAGGCCTTTAGCTTTCTAAATCATTATAGCAAGAATGAACAAATGACAGTTATTTTCATTTAACAAAGAATCCAAAAAAAAAGACTCCAAAAGAATCAAACATGCATGTTCTTTTATCAAAAGACTCAAGATTGACGAAAACATTATTAAATATATGAATAACTGAAATCAAATCAATGGTCGGAAAGGTGGTGATTGTGGGCGGTGGTGGTAGTGATAATGAAGTATTTTGTAGAGAAGTGATTTTAAGAAAAGTAGAAGTTATTCATTTTTTTTAACTTTTACTTATTTATTTATTTAAGTGGTTAAAGTACTTTTAACTTATTAGGAAGTTATTAAAATAAATCAGTCCAAAAATTATTTTTTTTTTAAATATTTATGAGAAATTATAAATTCTATAAACAAGTCATTTCAAACACACCTTTACTCATTCAAGATTCAAAATTTGTTTACAATATCAACACTACATCATTTATTCGGTTCTCTTTTTTATTTTTCATCATAATTTTTTTTTTGTGTCAATCTACCGGATAACAATACCCGAAATGTTATGGCGTTTCATTGTCGCTAATGTGATAATGCTACTCCCGTCTTGGCCTTGACACGGTTCATGGTACGGAGCTATATACCTGACCAAATCATTTACGAAAATATTTCTTCGATTTCTATTTGCAAGTCCCTATTTTGGCTTTTTGTTCATCGATGAAGAAATTATGATTCAAGGGATGTCAACCTTAACGTAATTGAGTAAAAATAGAAATGTATCGTAACCACAAATGACTTTGGGTCTTTCTTGACTACTCTGTCATATCTGAAGTGTATACTCCGGGCAAGAAAGTATAGGGATTTGACTTATTGTAACAATTAATGTATGAGTTGTAAGCCTTTCTTGAGTTGTCATTTGCTGTCATTTCATTTTGAGGTGGGGACTTATCTGTCTTTTAATTTTGCAGTGGTGTCTTAGCCGTCTTTGGAGATATTTTGATATTTTTCTTGGCTCGAATGATGTGATTGAATTTGACTTGCTACGGGTGCAATGACCTCATTTTTGTATACTTAAGATTTGGCTTTTGCATTTTATGGACTTCCTTCGCATTAATTTAAGAGTGTTAATTGAATTAAACTTGTTTTAACTCGAGTATATTCAAGCTCGATTTTAATTACGACTAATCGAATTTGAGGCACTCCATGACATGATACTTTTTTTGAAAGTCCCTTCCTAGTGCTCTATATTGACTAAGAGCATATCCAACCCTTACACAAATTTATGAGTTTAAATTTGAGTAAAAAAATTTAAAAAACTTGTTTCAACCTTTAACTCAAACTTATACTAAATCATGAGAGACTTTTTTTTTTTTTTTTATTTAAATCAAGAGAGACTCAAATCTTTACCTAAATCTTTAATGGTGAAATTTCACCCTCTTTTAAACATTCAAATTTAAGTTTGCCCACATTTAAATTTGAATTTCTCTTTCTTTAAATTTGAGTTTCTTTTTTTTTTAAATTTGAGTTTGTCAGTTGGAGCTCTTTGTATAAAATTAAATTATTTATTCAAATAATAACTTAAATTTAAGTAAAAATTTAAATCGGAGATGCTCTAAGAAGCAGCTGTTGGTCTTAACGTGATTGAAGGGGAAATTATAAAAATTAATGTAGTCTCAAAGGACTTAGACTCTTACGTCTTTATTGATGGATCCCCCACCCACGCCTACCTCCCCTGTCATTTTCGGCAAGAAAGTAGATGCATAAGTCTTTCTTGACTTACCACTCTGACTTTTTATTTTGAACAAGAAGGTGCAGGGATGCATTGCAACGATAAGGTAATGTGGCAATGGTATTGCAAAAGTGTAATTGCAAAACAAGACTTCAAACACTTTTAATTTAAAAATGTGTGTTTACAAAACATAAAGGCTTGAATGATTTTTGCTCTAAAAACAATTATATTAAACCGTTTGATCACACAATATTCTTTTACCGGAGGACTTGAAGTTGTGTGAGAGATTGGTTATATAACCTATAGAGGGATGGCTGTTCAAAAAAAAAAACCTGTAGGGATGAAGAGAAGTCCGGATGAGTGGAACAAGCTTAGTTGTGTTTCAAGATGTTTCTTCGACCAATTTTGGTGTTTTTATAGGTTTGAATGTGACGATCGAATTTGACGGAACTGTTATATATTAGAGAAAAATGATAGAAATAATTTTTTAGACTTGAATGTGACGATCGAATTTGATGGCACTGTTGTATACTAAAAAAAAAATGATAAATATGATTTTCTAGGCTTGAATGCGACGATTGAATTTGACGAAATTGTTGTATACTAGAGAAAAATGATATAAATGATTTTATTCACATAGATTAGGGGCTTCCTTTAAATTTCATTTAGTGTTTGAGGAATGGTATTTTTTCATTTGTAAGGTGAAATCAAACTTTGATTTGTTGAATTCTGTTGACTTTCATAGTCGTGATTTCTAAAGTCTTCAATATTAGAACATTGTTAGACAGATAAAAAAATAGGATAAAAAATAAAGACTAAATAATATGACATTGGTATAATAATATTTTGGATCTCACTTTTACCCATTTAAAATCAAATATATCAGCAGTGTATCATTTGATCCATTTTTTTAATACTTTTTGGTCAATCTAATATTAATTAATATAAAGCGGTGTCGAAGAACAAATAGATTAAGCAATATCTCAAATACTACTTGTTTGTTGCTAATTTGACTGATGGTCATCATGGGTGGTGAAACCTTCTTTGTTTTTCTTCTTGTACTGATTTTACTCTATATGAATCTTGCTTTCAGATCAGTCACCACTACTACTTCAGGATTCGGAGATGTCAAAGTCATGAGGTGCATAGATAGGGAGAGACGAGCTCTCCTCGATTTCAAACGGGGCCTTGTAGATGACTATGGCCGTCTCTCTTCCTGGGGGAGTACTGACAAAATAGACTGTTGCACATGGGAAGGAGTCCACTGTAGCAACCGAACTGGTCACGTACTCATTCTCGATCTCCATGGTCCGTCCGATGATGATCCAAATCATTCTCAGCGTTTGAGTGGTCAAAATATCAGCTCTTCGTTGCTTGAATTGCAACATTTGAGTTACTTGGACCTTAGTTTCAATAATTTTCGCAGCAGTACATTCCCGGAGTTCATAAGTTCCCTCAGCCGATTAAGGCACCTTAATCTTGCTATGAATGGCATTTACGGTATGGTTCCTCATCAACTTGGTAACCTAACAAACTTGCGATATCTCGATCTCAGGGGTAATCATCTGAATGGTACAAAACTTGAGTGGCTTTCTCATATTCGTCATTTAAGATACCTTGGCATGAGTGGTGCTGACCTCAGTAAAGCAGTGGATTGGCAACAAGCAATAAACAAACTCCCTTTGCTCACAGAATTGCAATTGGTTTCTTGTCAACTCCCTCAAACCACCATTCCACCCTCATTTGATCTCTTGCCCACCAATTCTTCTTCTTCTATGTCTCTTTCCGTCATTGGTCTTTCTCGGAATAATCTGGTTTCTTCCTCAATATATCATTGGTTGTTTAACTTAAATGCAAGCCTTGTTAGCATTGACCTTTCTGAGAATTATCTAGGAGGTCCCATTCCTGATGCTTTTGGTTACATGCATTCCCTTGAAGATGTCGAACTCACCGTAAATTCTCTCGATGGTGGGATTCCAAAATCTTTTGGAAATTTAAGTCGCTTACATTCATTACAATTATCTCACAACAATTTAAATGAACAACTCCCCCATATACTTCAAAATTTGATGGGGGCAGAGAATTCATTAGAGATCTTAAACCTGGAGCAGAACCAAATTAGTGGTTCATTGCCTGATTTTACTAAATTTTCGTCCTTGAAAGAATTGTACCTTGGTGGTAATACATTGAATGGGTCTTTTCCGGTAAGTTTTGGACGGATTTCCAATCTAGATTTTCTGGATGTGTCTTTTAATCAGATTTCGGGACCATTGCCAGATATATCAGTATTTCCATTGTTGAGAGAGTTATATCTTTCCTACAATCGATTACAAGGGATGCTACCCAAAAGTATCGGGCAACTTTCGAAGCTTGAAATTTTTGATGCCTCTTCAAATTCGTTAGAAGGTATAATCTCCGAACCCCATTTCTCAAATCTCTCCAATTTAAAGACATTGATATTATCTTATAACTCAGTGGCTTTGGCCTTCAGTTCTGATTGGACTCCTCCATTTCAGTTGAATGTTATCGGATTCAGTAATTGCAGTATGGGGCCTCATTTCCCAAAATGGCTTCGAACACAGAATAATTTTTCCCAGCTTGATATCTCTTGTATTGGAATTTCAGATACAATACCTGATTGGTTTTGGGATCTCTCCCCTAGATTACTTTTCTTGAATCTCTCTTACAATCAGATTAGTGGCATCGTGCCCAATTTATCCTTGAGGCTTGTTTATATTTCGGTAATAGACCTAAGCTCTAATTGTTTTAATGGTTCAATACCATCACTTCCTCCCAATGTTATGATACTGAATCTCTCCAAAAACAAGTTTTTGGGATCAATTTCCAGCTTATGCGGCAGTCATTTTTTCGGTGGCAGTCTGGACCTCTCAGATAATTTATTATCTGGAGAACTTCCTGATTGTTGGACGAACAATGCATTTTTAAGCATTCTCAACTTGGACAACAATTATTTCTCCGGGAAAATTCCAAGCTCAATAGGCAGTCTACGTTTTTTGAAGTCGTTGCACTTGCGCAACAACAATTTTGTAGGGGAATTGCCTTCATCTTTGCAGGAGTGTACAGAGCTGAGAGTTATTGATTTGAGTGAAAATAAGCTTACAGGAAAAGTACCACCATGGATAGGGGCACGCCTAATAAACTTGATCGTTCTTAGTCTTCGCTCGAACAAGTTTTCTGGAAGCATACTGCCGGTTATATGTCATCTTGACCATATTCAAATCTTGGACCTCTCTCGAAATAATATATCAGGAAATTTACCACGGTGCTTCAACAACTTTACTTCTTTGGTTCAAAAGAATACTTTAAGTGGAACCATTGATTTTCAACTCATACTTTATCCTAGGTCAACCTCCGTCGTTCTTGGAAGCGGCTACATGGATAACGCATTGGTTCAATGGAAAGGACAAGAGTGGGAATTCAAAAAGAATTTGGGACGACTTAAAAACATTGATCTTTCTAGCAATAAATTAGTTGGGAGGATTCCTGAAAACATTGCAAGTCTCAAGGGATTACTTTACTTCAACCTATCGAGAAACCATTTGACAGGAACTATCATTCAAAGGATTGGTGACATGGAGATGTTAGAATGTCTCGACTTGTCTAAGAACCAGCTTTCAGGTGAGATTCCAACGGACTTTGCTCGTTTACATTTTCTTAGTGTCTTGGACTTGGCAGACAACAACTTGTCGGGTAAAATTCCATCAAGCACTCAACTGCAGAGCTTTAATGCCTCTTCATATGCTGGAAATCCTGATCTTTGTGGGCTTCCACTTCCTAAGTGCCAAGGAGATGAAACAGCTGCTCGGGTTCCTGCCGTTACTGATCATGGCATAGACAACAACTTTGAGGAAAATCAGGACAAGTTGGTGACCTTTGGGTTTTATGTAAGTATGGTTCTTGGTTTCATTCTTTCATTCTGGGCAGTCTTTGGCACTTTACTGCTCAAAAGATCATGGCAACATGCCTATTTCCAATTCTTGAATGCCATAAAAGACTGGATCTACGTGACAACAGCCGTGTATGCGGCAAGACTACAGAGGAAACTTACGAACTATATGGTATGGTATATCATTTTTTCTTTTTATTATTTCTCTTTTATTTGTGTCAGCGTTAAGAAACAACATTATATGGTTCCCCTCTTTATGACTACTGATGGCTAATCAATTTTATTTTTGTCCAAATTAGTCACAAACATATAAACTTTATCCTCGTGATTTTGCTATGACATGAGTTTGTGTATTAAAATTTATTATCTTTTTAAATCCTGTAAATTTGCTTTTATCTCTTGGGCTGAATCTGCATACCTAGAACATCTGCTTTGATTCTTCCTAATGATCAGTTCTTATTGTGATGACTCGTTGGTTTAACTTTTGTGTAAAATGGTCACATATGTAATACATATTACTTGTTCTTATATTTGACGAGAGGCTTATGTACTAAATTATTATTTTTTTCACTTGTGTTTTTGTTTCATTTTTTCAGTAGAAGCAGCATACCTATAGAATAAGCTCGAGTTCCTCTTGATGATAAGTCCGTATTACATGAAGTTCCGGATACATGCTCTTGTTGTCTCTTCTTTCTTCTTAAGAATGTATTTATACGAAATTCTATAAATGTAGTTTATTATGGGATTATGTCTGTAATTCCAAGGATTGCACTCTTCTCCTTTAGCTTATTATGGGAGTAATTATGGGGTTTTGTTATTCTACAATATGATGAATGTTATTTTTTTTGGATCAAGTAATATGATGCAAATATGTTGCATTGCAAGGTTTTTTTTATTGCATTGAGAGTTATGATCTATTAAGGTGCAAGTTACAATTTATTACGATTAATCCTAAAACGTTGGAATAAAACTCATGTACTGTTTATAATTTTAACTTATTTGACTTAACTTCACTATTCACAACATTTTTTCATTACAACATTAGTAAAACAAATAAGTAAATAAAAACATCAAATTTGAACATATTAATTTACGCAATAAATCTCAAGTCGTTATATTTTTTTTCTATTTTTTGACAATTGGGTTTTGTAAATTCGGACTTGATTTTAAACTACAGCTTGTTGATTGTAACATCTACTGTTCATTAAATGACAGACATGATTGCCTCGTATAAAACACAACTACCTAAAAAATAAATGAACAATTAGAAAGGATCAACCATCATGATAAGGTGGTGACGCGAACTGAGTGATCGGCCGACCCGATCAAGAAAATGGGCAAGGGTGGGTGCCAATCTACTCTCGTTATAGCTACAATAGATCACTAGTAAGAATACATATCAAGAAAGCATTTGTGAAACCGTTGAAAAAACACCAACAAGAGATAAATTACAAGGATAATCTTAGGTGGTTTGAAATGATTTGATACATACTGATGGTAATGAGAAAGGCATACTTAAGCCGAAATTAACTAAGATGGTGATAGTGAAAAAAAATTCGATAGCTTTCCGTTTAATGGAGAGTATACCCCTATATTGTTGGAAATCTTTTTTTTTTTTTAGCTGGTGCTGGAAATCCCAGATGACAGAACTGATGCAAAAATTCTACCATTGTTCAGTACAAGACCATAAAACCATTTGAACTCCCTAAGCCCAACCAACTTCTTTTCTGTCAGATCATAAAGCAGGCATAAAAGAATCAAAACTCAAAATTAATGAGACAAGCAATCCAAATACCTGCTGCAATTTTTAGACCAAAGAACTTTACCTTGATTTTGCAAGCTCCATTCATAAATCTATTTAAATAAATTTTTTTATCTAACTTATAAAGTGATAAAAGTGAAAGAAGAAAGAAATCTATAAAACAAATGACGAAAATCTATGGAGTTTCCTCACCAGAAAATCGGTAATTATATTATGTATTTTTGTTTCTGTTTCTGTTGTTGATTTCCCCGGATCCAGACCTCCAAAACCCATCTTCATCAGAAAATTGTGAATTGCCTTCTGTTTTGGTCTCACAGTGGTGTTTCAATGCTCTGCCATGGCTTAGGGTTCGACACGGTTCATGTTATGGAGCTATTTTTTTCGGAGATTATCTGCCAAATGTCCGGTCGACTTCAATCTGTTGGTGGAAGAACGCAAGTGCGAGGTTGCATGATCATGGGTTGGTTCGGCAAGCATGGCTATGTGCGTGATGAGAAAGGCAATCCATCGGTGGACACTCACCCCATGATGAACGCGGTACTCTTCTTCACAAAAATTTCCAAGAAGTTCTTGCTTACTGCTTTTCACATTTACTAATAATTTATGATTCAGTGGATGGTTGGTGGCCTTAACGTGATTGACCCGAAACAGAGATCCATCTCATCCATAACTGATTTCTTTATGACTTGACTCATAAAATAAAAATAAATAAATACAGGAGGCCTACTTGGGGTTTGTTTCGATACATTAAATTGATTACAGGATGAAACATACAGAAATATTTTAAAACAGATTCGAAAAACTTCAAAAACAAAGGTCATTTGAAACTTTTTAACAATTTTAATCGTTTCAAAGTAAAAAAATTTTGATCTTTCTGATTGGGGGACGGAGCAAGACAAACAAGACTAGAAACAACAAAAGAAAATTATACGCAAACCTTCTGAAATTTATAAGTATATAATATTTTAATCAAAATAAAATATTAATTATTTTAAATTTTACAACTAAAATTTATGTTCTATTAAATCATTTATTGGAATAAAATTAAAATTAAAAATTTAATTTTTTTTAAAAAAATTGTACTTAGTATACAATTACACTATTTAAGTGTTACGTATACAAATTTTAAGGATTTATATGTAATATTTTAAATGTTAAGAGGTCTAAGTGATTAAATAACAAACTTCAAAATATCTGAATACAATTCTCCCAAACAAAAAAAAGCAACCCAACATCGTAAAACGGTAGTGTCAAACATGCTAGAAGGTGGTCATTTGTAACAAAATCCTATTATTTAGGATGAGGAACATTTTGTAATGAGACCCGAACTGGGTGCTCTTCTATCCGAGTAACGTCAAAGTGATTATTTGGTATAACCGTTTTTTAACATTTCCATGACGTCTACAATCTTAGTGCCTTTTGAGGTAGTGTGTGTCGCTTGAGGAGAAAAGCTGAAGTTGGTGCTCCGTCGGATGTAACCAGCACTCCATCGGTGGGCATTTGCAGACACCAATTTTAAGATTCAATTGAACCACTCGCAATAATACCTTTTCAATGGTTACGTCTATTAGAAAATTAGGGTGAACATAATTCGAATTGAATTGACCGAAAACAAAGATAATAAAAGATAATTGTATGGGTTTATTTATATTTATATAGATATGATTGAACTCGATGTTGGAAGAATATAGATATAAAAGTTAATGAAATAAAGTGTGGGATAGGGAAAAGTGTACTGGCGTAGACTAGTATAGCCAAGCAAAAGTGAAAAACATGTAAAAGAATATTAGAGAAGGTTAAATTCGTTGTAAACAAAATGGTTTCTCAAGGCCACTTATGTAGCCATTAGTTTAGTAACCCCCACACACACATAATCCTAACAACTTCTGACCGTTTGGACATAAAATTATTTTTAAAATGAGTAATTTTTATTCTTTAAAAATATTTAACTGAATATTCAAAAATTTAAACTCAACTAAAGTGAAAATTTAATGATAAATTTTATAAACTTAATTTTATTCTTACACACCCTCCATGATGCGTACTCATTTTTGACAGAATTTCCACCAACTCTCTGCTTTTAGCATACAACTTTCCTGGTCGTTGTTGACTGGCCACCAACTCCCTGCTTAGTGCTTACAGCTTTCCTGGTCATTGTGAATTTTATTTTACTTTTCAAAAAAAAAAAACAAAAAAGCTTCCCTGATCTTTATTGACCGCTCAGTCACTCACATATCTCTCTCTCTCTCTTTCTTGCCATAAGGAGCTGGGTAGAGATTTTGTAGCCGTGCAACACAAACTAAATGAAAGGGCGACCACGTAGGCATTGACACGGTTCATTGTAAGGAGCTATGTCCCTGATCAGTTCATCTACGAAAATATTCCTACGACTTCTATTTGCAAGCCCTTGTTATGGCCTTTCTACATCGACGAAGAAATTACGATTCTAGGAAATATCGATCTTAACATAATTGAGGGGAAATAGAGATTAAGGGTGTTTAAATTTTCAATTACCCACAATTTTTTACCTTATCCGTTCTTACCACGGTTAACTGAAAAAGTTGAGTAACAATTCGGAAGAGTTTTTGGTCTTTCGATTAAATCGGATAGAAATGTAGAATAGTCATTAATTTTCATATTTCTAATCTACCTTACCCTAATTCCCTAATCATATGGTTTAAACTTAAAATAATTGTTATTATATTTGTGCAACAATTATGATAAATTGATGTTTATGTTTTCTTGTATTTTATTGTAATTATTGTTTTAATTATTTTAGATTTTAGTGTTATTGGTTTATTGTGTTGTTGAATTAGTGTATGTTATTTAATTAAAATTTTAAAATAATCCAAAAATTAATAATTATAAAAATGTTTACCTGATCTTATACCCGATTAATTTGGTCCAAAGTCTGGTAAAAATACCACACTTAATCGAGTAGGATAAACTAAAAAAAAATTTTTTTATAAAAAATCGATTAAGAAGATGAAAGATTATATATTTTACCCGTAAAATAAGCTAAACACCTCTAATGGAGTTGCATCGTAGCCACAAATAATTGTTTTTTGGGACCTTGACTTTGGGTCTTTCTTGACTACTCTGTCACATCTGGAGTATACTCCGGGCAAGAAAGTATAGGGATAGCAATTAATGTATGACTTGTAAGTATTTCTTGACTTGCCATTGCAGTTTTCTCATTTTGAGGTGGGGTCTTATATGTCTTTTCATTTTGGGGTGGTGTCTTAGCTGTTTTTCGAGATGTTGTTCCAATCAATTTTGATATTTTTCTTGGCTTGAATGATACGATCGACTTTGACGAAAATGTTTCATGTTAAAGAAAAATTATGCAAATTGTTTTCTTAATGTAAATATGAAACTTGGCTTCCTTTAAATTGGTTTTTAAGTGGTTTAGGAATGACAAAAGTCAGTGTTATGGTAAAAAAAAGGAGCCTTGCTACCGGTGCAATCATCTCTTTTTTGTATACTTAAGATTCGGCTTTTGTATTTTGTAGACTTTATTCACGTTGATTTAAGGGTGTTGTTAATTGAATAAAATTTATTTTTAATTTGAATTTGTTCAAGCTTGGTTTTGATCGTGACTAATCAAATTTGAAGTAATTTATGACATAGGTACTCTTTTTGAAAGTCTCTTCAGAGTGCTTTCTATATTGACTAAGAGTAAATCCAACTCTTACTCAAATTTAAACTCAAAGTTTAAATTTGAGTAAAAAGACTTAGAAAACGTGTTCCAACTTTTAATTCAAATTCATACTTTAGTAGGAGAGGATCTTTTTTATATTTAAATCAAGGGAGATTCAAATTTTTACTCAAATTTTTAATGATAAAATTTCACTATTTTTTAAAGATTCAATAGTCATCTTTACTTTCTTTTAAATTTGAGTTTGTCCACATTTAAATTTGAGTTTGTCCATTAGAACCATTTGTATCAAATTAAATTTTTTATTCAAATTATAATTTAAATTTAAATAAAAATTTAAATTATAATTAGAGATATTCTAAGAAGTAGTTGTTGGCCTAACGTGATTGAAGGGGAAATTTAAAAAATTAATGTAGCTTCAATGGACTTAGACTCTTACGTCTTTATTGATGGATTCTAGGGGTGTAATTCGAACGGGTTGGATAATCAACTCTAATCCAATCCTAAATATACAATTTTTAACCCTAATCCTAACCCTAACCCTACCTCGGGTTGGGAAACTCAATCCGAGCACTGCCCGAGTTTAATTCGGGCGGGTTCGGGTTAATAATTTTGGACTGATTTCTAGTTACTTTACAGGTTCAATTCGGGTAGAGCCCAAAATGAGCTTGTTGTTTTAAACATAATACATATATTACATAATATTCACCTAAATTAACAACTAATAATTTAAACCAAGTTTTTAACGAGAGAGAATGAGAGACAAATAGAACAAGAGAGACAGAGAACGATAGAACAAAAATGAAAAACAAGTGCTAATGCTTTATATATATAATATATATAATTTTTTTTTAATTTATCGGATTCGAGTTGAACTCGGGTTCATGAGACCTTAATCCGAGCCCAACTCAAATTAAATTCAAGTTGGGGTTTTTTGACCTAACCCCAATCCAAGTATTAAAAACTCTTGTCCAATCTTTAATTTTTTTAGGTTAAATTCGGATTAAAATCAGATTACCCAATCCAAGTTACACTTTAGGATCCCCACACCTAGCTCTCCTGTCATTTTCGGCAAGAAAATAGATGCATAAGTCTTTCTTGACTCTCTGCTTTTAGCATACAACTTACCTGGTCTTTGATGAGTGGCCACGAGTCCCTGCTTGGTGCTTACAGCTTTCCTGGTCATTGTGAATTTTATTTTATTTTTCGAAAAAAAATAAAAAGGCTTCCTGATCTTTATTGACCGGTCACATCTCTCTCTTTCTTGCCATAAGGAACTGGGTAGAGATTTTGTAGCAGTAACCAACTGGGGTAGTCCATATGGCCAGGGTCTCTGATTCTTCGGTGAGAGGTCAGGGGTTCAAAGTTTTCTGGACGCCAAAAAACATGACTGTTTAGTAGGACAAAATCTTAATTGTTTGGACGAATCATATTTAAATCTTTTGGAGTGGGTCTTGAGTCTCCGACAAAACGCAAGTCCTGATTTAAATAGTGTATGAATTGAAGGACCGATTTATACACTCGAATTTTACTCTTGGTTCTACTCAGAGTCACAATTTTAAACGACGTAAACGCGTTTCTACTCGCTAAGAAAAGGTCGTGGGATTTCTCCGTATCCGAAGAGATTTTGAAGTAGTGCAACACAAACTAATATGAAAGGGCGACTACATAGGCTCCTCAAGAGAACTACAATACAACATCGATCTCAAATACTACTTGTTTGTTGCTAATGTGATTGATGGTCATCATGGGTGAAACGTTCCTTGTTTCTCAAATTCGTTTATTAAGATACCTTGACTTAAGTTTTGTTAATCTCAGTAAAGCAGTGGATTGGCAACAAGCAATAAACAAACTCCCTTTGCTCACAGAATTGCAATTGGTTTCTTGTCAACTCCCTCAAACCACCATTCCACCCTCATTTGATCTCTTGCCCACCAATTCTTCTTCTTCTATGTCTCTTTCCGTCGGTGGTCTTTCTCGGAATAATCTGGTTTCTTCCTCAATATATCATTGGTTGTGTGCGTGCAAGATCCTGCATAATATAAAAAATGAGAACAGATCTCTCCCTTGGTGAACTCGAGTGAGCCGGTGGAGTGACCAAACACGCTGCTTGGGACAACCTGCAAGGTACGGTGGTAACCTGGAACGGCAACGGGAGACCCTGGGAAAGGAAGAACGATCCTGTAAGGCTGAAAGAGGTTCCTGAAACAAAGAAGAACAAGTTAGAAGGGCGCCGGAGTGTTTTCCGGCGTATCCCCTCCGACGATCTAGTCAGTCTTTGAAAGAGAGAGAGAGAGAGGATAGAGAAAACACTGAGTGTGTATTGTAGTAGAGAGTTTTTTGTTGCATACCCGCTTTGCCTTTTGCAAGGAGTATTTATACCTTAAAAGCTCATGATTGCTGTCAGTGTCGTCAGTAGGTGATCATTAGGCACAGGTAGCGTGTGCATTGATTCTGATGAGAAATGTCTTCTCTAATTAACTGCTCGGGGTCCCGAGCAATCAATGTTGGGTCATCGAGATGCTGACGGTACAATGTGCTCCTCTCGGGGAGGATGCAATAAATGCTCTGTATTAGGAGCATTTATTGCCTTCATTTCCGAACCTTACCGCATTGAATGCGGTCTCATCAAGGGAATGGTGCAATTAATTATTTGCTTTCCCAAGTCGCGTGTCAGCAACGGCATGCGGTTTGTCTGTCTTTGATGTGATATCATATGTCACGCGTCCATCCCTTATTGGCTGTGACCTCTGTATTCCAGTACGTTCTGACATTACTTGTGTAAAACGAGGTCATGATGACTAGCCTAGGCAAATGACCTGTACGTCAATAGCTTATTCTGGAGTAGAGGAGGCGTCCAGGATGGGGTACCTCTCGGCACCGAGGTACATATCAGACCGAGGCCACGTGTCGGTTGTAAAATATACTAAATGTATGATCCTATATGACGGTACCTCGGGGGCGAGGACATTCGTGCGCCGATGGTGCTTGATCTTAGCAACAGTGTTTTAGTAAAACCGAGGACACGTGTCTTCATCATAGGGTATTTCAGAAAAGTCCCATCAAGTTGTTTAACTTAAATGCAAGCCTTCTTAGCATTGACCTTTCTGGTAACCATCTACGGGGTCCCATTCCAGATGCATTTGGGAACATGCTTTCCCTCGAAGATCTCTATCTCAGTCACATTTCTCTGGATGGTGGGATTCCAAAATATTTTGGGAATTTAAGTCGCTTATACTTGTTAGATTTATCTTACAACCAGTTAAATGAACAACTCTCCCAAATTCTTCAGAATTTGACTGGTGCTGCAGAGAATTCATTAGAGATTCTAATGTTATATACCAATCAACTTAGTGGTTCATTGCCCCATTTTACTAAATTTTCGTCTTTGAAAGAATTGTACTTTTTTGGTAATACATTAAATAGGTCTTTTCCGATAAGTTTTGGACGGATTTCCATTCTAAGTTTTCTAGATGTGTCTTATAATCAAATTTCAGGGTCATTTTCAAATATAACAGTATTTCATTTGTTGAAAGAGTTATATCTTTCTAACAATCGGTTACAGGGGATGCTACCCAAAAGTATCGGGCAATTTTTGAAGCTTGAAATTTTAGATGTCTCTTCAAACTCAATAGAAGGTAAAATCTTTGAAGCCCATTTCTCAATCTCTCCAATTTAAAAGATTTGATATTGTCTTATAACTCACAGGATTTAAACTTTTGTTCTGACTGAACTCCTCCTTTTCAATTGGATGTCATAAGACTCAATAATTGCAGTATGGGGCCTCATTTCCCAAAATGGCTTCATACACAGAACAATTTTTTTGAGCTTGATATCTCCTATGTTGGAATTTCAGATACAATACTTGATTGGTTTTGGGATCTCTCCCCCAGATTATATTTTTTGAATCTCTCTTACAATTAGATTAGTGGCATCGTACCCGATTTATCCTCGAGGCTTGTTGATACTCCTGAAATAGACCTAAGCTCTAATTGTTTTAACAATCCAATACCGTCACTTCCTCCCAATGTGACGTTAGTAAATCTCTCCAAAAACATGTTTTCAGGATCAATTTCCAGCTTATGCGATTACCCCATTGGGTTGTTTGGCTATCTGGATCTCTCAAATAATTCATTATCAGGAGAGCTTCCCGACTGTTGGATGAACAATGAATTGCTAAGCATTCTCAACTTGGCAAATAATTATTTCTCTGGGAAACTTCCTAGCTCAATAGGCGGTCTACGTAATTTGCAGACGTTGCACTTGGCCAACAACAAATTTGTCGGGGAATTGCCTTTGTCTTTGCAGGAGTGTACACAGATGATAGTTCTTGATTTGGGTGAAAATAAGTTTGCAGGAGAAATACCAGCATGGATAGGGACACACTTAACAAATTTGATCGTTCTTAGTCTTCGCTTGAATGAGTTCTATAGAAGCATACCGCCAAATATCTGCCATCTTGAACACATTCAAATCTTGGACTTCTCTCAAAATAATATATCGGGAACTATTCCAAGGTGCTTCAACAATTTTACTTTGCTTCAAAGGAATACTTCAAGTGGAACCATTGAGTTTGTTGGACTCTTAGATTATGCTCTGTCCGGCTCCTTCCGTGTTGGGGGTAACTACACGGATTACGCATTGGTCCAATGGAAAGGACAAGAGTGGGAATACAAAAAGAATTTGGGACAACTTAAAAACATTGATCTTTCTAGCAATAAATTGGTTTGGAGGATTCCTAAAAACATTGTAAGTTTCAAGGGATTACTTTACTTGAACCTATCGAGAAACCATTTGACAGGAACTATCATTCAAAGGATTGGTGAAATGGAGATGTTAGAATGTCTCGACTTGTCTAAGAACCAACTTTCAGGTGAGATTCCTACAGACTTTGCTCGTTTACATTTTCTTAGTGTCTTGGACTTGTCGGACAACAACTTGTCGGGTAAAATTCCATCAAGCACTCAACTGCAGAGCTTTAATGCCTCTTCATGTGCTGGAAATCCTGATCTTTGTGGGCTTCCACTTCCTAAGTGCCAAGGAGATGAAACAGCTGCTCGGGTTCCTGCCGTTACTGATCATGGCATAGACAACAACTTTGAGGAAAATCAGGACAAGTTGGTGACCTTTGGGTTTTATGTAAGTATGGTTCTTGGTTTCATTCTTTCATTCTGGGCAGTCCTTGGCACTTTACTGCTCAAAAGATCATGGCAACATGCCTATTTCCAATTCTTGAATGCCATAAAAGACTGGATCTACGTGACAACAGCCGTGTATGCGGCAAGACTACAGAGGAAACTTACGAGCTATATGGTATGGTATATCATTTTTTCTTTTTATTATTTTTATTCTATTGGTGTCTGCATTAAGAAACAACATTGTATGGTTCCCTTTTTTATAATTACTGATGGCTAATCAATTTTACTTTTGTCCAAATTAGTCATAAACATATTAACTTTACCCTCATGCGTTTTGCTATGACATGAGTCTTGTTTATTAAAATTTATTATCTTTTAAAACCTGTAAATTTGCTTTTATCTCTTCGGCTGAATCTGCATACCTAGAACATTTGCTTTGATTCTTCCTAATGATCAGTTCATATTGTGATGACTCACTGGTTTAACTTTTGTGTAAAATGCTCACATATGTAATACTTATTACTTGTCCTTTTACTTTAACGAGAGGCTTATGTACTAAGTTATTATTTTTTCTCACTTGTGTTTTTGTTTCATTTTTTCAGTAGAAGCAGCATATCTATAGGGTAAGCTCGAGTTCCTCTTGCCGATGAGTCCGTATTACACGAAGTTTCGGATTCATGCTCGGGTTATCTCCTCTTTTTTTCTTAAGAATGTATTTTTACGAAATTCTATAAATATAGTTTATTATAGGTTCATGTCTCTAATTCCAAGATTGCACTCTTCTCCGTTAACTTCTTATGGGAGTACTTATGGGGTTTTGTTAAATATGATGCAAAATAAAAGTTAAATATGTTGCATTTCAAGGTTTTTTTTATTGCATTGAGAGTTATGATCTATTAAGGTGCAAGTTACAATTTACTACGATTAATCCTAAAACGTTGGGATGAAACTCATGTACTGTTTATAATTTTAACTTATTTTACTCAACTTCACTATTGGCAACATTGGACTCAACAACTTCACTATTGAACATCTACTATTCATTAAATGACATACATGATTGCCTCGTATAAAACACTACTACCTGAAAGAGACAAACTGAAAAATAAATGAACAATTAGAAAGAATCAACCATCATGATAAGGTGGTGACGCGGACTGAGTGATCGGCCGACCCAGTCAAGAAAATGGGCAAGGTTGGGTGCCAATCTACTGTCGTTATAGCTGCAGTGTGAGGAAGAGTTTTCATCCCATTCATATGTCCTCGAACCTGATAACATGAAAATTCACATCAGAACCACAAATCACTGATAAGAATACACATCAAGGAAGCATTCGTGAAACCGTTAAAGAAACACTAACAAGAGATAAATTAAAAAGATAATCTTAGGTGGTTTGTAGTGGTTTGATACATGTTGATGGTAATGAGAAAGGTAGATGTAAGCCAAAATTAATTAAGAATGTGATAGTGAAAAAAAATAGGATAGCTTATAGTTTAACGGAGAGTATACCCCTATATGAAGTACAATGGATTTATACCCAGCCCCAAATAGTTGAGATAAAGCCATTGTTAGATTGAATTGAATTATTCCCACCAAAAAATTGTCGCAATGATCCAGCAATTAACTAATGAACAAAGATTTTATCGATAGCGTCAAAATGTCATCGGCAGATAATGTGTACAACAAGATATAAGTGTGAGAGACGGAAGATTTACCTTATATATTGGTGCTCTTACTGAAGAAGAAGTCACCAAAAGTCTTCTCCCATTAGGATCAAGAGCCATTTCGTGTCTACTGGCTAGTGAGTTCTGGGGGTTACAGTACCTACATCAAACAAATTCATATAAAGATATCTTGTGTGAATTCCTATATGATAGTATAGAAGATGCAATTAGAGGAAACAAACATGGAGACCAATCATACAAAAACAGGCATGAGGGATAACAAGCTTCTTATCCATTTATAAAAAAATTAAGGCATAGTCAGTCCAGCTCCAAGCACGTTGGAGATGGTTGTCATAAAATTGATAGAACCTAAAACTTATCCATTGGGAAAAATGATGCCAGATACAACAATTGTTTAACTTCTAAGAATCAGATCTGTAAGTATTACTACCCAAACTATTTATACAACCAGGTTTCAGAATCTTTCTATATATGGTTGCATCTGTATGTAGTACTACCAAAACTAATTATACAAGAAGGTTTCATAATCTTTCTATATATGTTTTCTTTAAAATTTCGTACAGATCTTTGTTGGAAATCCATGTTTTTTTTTTTTTGAGCAGGTGCTGGAAATCCCAAATGACAGAATTGATGCAAAAGTTCTACCATTGTTCAATACAAGACCATAAAACCATTTGAACTCCCTAAGCCCAACCAACGTTTTTTACTGTCTGATCATAAAGCAGCTATAAAAGAATCAAAACTCAAAATTAATGAGACAAGCAATCCAAATACCTGCTGCAATTTCTTGACCAAAGAACTTTACCTTGATTTTGCAAGCTCCATTCATATATCTGGCACACAAACTATAAACTTAGTTTTTCCAAAAGGTTAGTTTGACATAAAAAGTCACCACAAAACTAGTGGAACACTCCCTCCAGTTCCAAAGATGGAACTCAGATGCATAACACAACTTCAAGCCAAAACCAATAGAGATGCTATAAGTACTTGCCTTTCCATCCATACCCAAGCTAAAAATGCTTGTTTCGTCAGGCCCAAAAAGAACAGAACTAATAGCTGAATCATGAGCTGGCCACCCAGTGATTTGCAGGCCCGCAGACATATCTTTGCCTAGTTAAGATGTAAACAGTTGTTTATCCATTTCTAAACCTGTATGTGAACAACCCCCCCCCTCCTTCCCCCAAAAAAAAAAGACGGAGATTGAGGCACTCATATAACATGAAGAAAAAGACAAAGGATCATAGTTGTCAAATCGCGATTCGTATTGTGAATCGTATCGAATCATGAATCGTAAGATTTGACACAAAATTTGAACAAATATAAAAAATAATACTACATATTTAAAATAGACAAAAATATTGAATATTGAACATTATTGCATTCTAAAAATAATCAATTGACATAATTACATCATCTAAATAGAAAAACGCTAACCTTTTACTTCATTTTCATCTTTTGCTTAACCATTTTAAAACTTAACAGCTTGTAAAAAAAAAATTCATTAAAGAACCATGAATATTCAAGAACCAAAATAGTGATATCCAGTATAGATTAGGTTACAAACATCAATGAAAAAAGAACAAATAAGAAAATTGATTGATAGAAAACATACAGGCTAACATTTTGAAACAAATAATTAAAACCTAACAAACTACCTATAAAAGAATTAAGAACAAAAATCAACCGATGATGCGAGAGCGTTACTCGTTACCTTTAACTATAGACAACGCAAGGCAAACTCTAGATGATGTCAGAGAGAGAACAAGCAAAGAGATTGAGTTTTTATTAGGGCGTGAATTCCTCTACAAATAAAACGATGTCGTTTTACTGTTTAGCGGATGAAACGACATCGTTTTGCAAAAAATTTAGGTTTTAAAAAAAAATAATTGAATCGCGCGATACAAATCGAATCGTACGATTCTCCTATAAGATACGAATTGTTTTGTACCTATATTGAACCGAATCGTATGTATCGAATCGCGAATCATACGATTTTGATAACTATGCAAAGGATACCGAACATATGAATCATTCCATCAGTTGCCGCAGCAGCTAAAATCTTCCCATTGTGATTGAAATTTAAAGAAGTAATTGCTGGTGGATCTTTACCAAGCGGAAGGACTGTCTTCAACAAAGTTTGAGAAAAAGTAAGGCTTCATGACTGTCATCCAAAAAGAGAGAAATAAATAAAGTATAAAGGGCTTCCGCATTAACATGCGAATTTCTGGGACTAGGAAACACATACCATAGCCTTCCATGTTCTCATGTTCCATACAGTTAATGATGCAAACCCCAATTTATCAGTATAACTTGTACCATGCCTGCAAAATCAATGATGTCCTATGAATAGTTAAAAACAGAGCAGAAGCTTATCGGCTGACACTTTACCAGTGCAGCAAGCACAATGCTTCCTGTTGGAAAATCGCGATGACATGAATAGGAAACACTGCCAATCACTCGATCACATAGCTCAAATTTGAGATAATTTAGGATGGAGATTAAGTCTCAACAGTAAATACCCTCTGGATGCTGCTGCAGAGACAAATATTGGTTCCACAGGGCTGCATTTTAAGTCCAAGACACTGCAGTACAATAAATACAAGACCAAATCTTAAAAATTCATTTTTTTTTTTTTTGCTGAAGCGAAAAATTGTTTCCAGATAAGAACCTTGGGAATGCTTCAGTTGTGTTGAGATCACAAACCACTCTCTTCGCATCAACATTCCATGCTTTAATGCCTCCATCAGCAGTCCCTATGAGAAGCTTTTGTCAAAATAAACAATGATTTAACACCATCAATACTGATTTCCAACGATCAAAACATCATTCCAACATGAAAACTAACTGTTAATATTTTATTTCTTTCTAAAAGATTTACCAAATACACAGATTAAATATAAACAGCCAGAACATACCAAACGATCAGATTTACAATCCCACTCAAGAGACATGATCTCTGTCCCACAGTAGATGGTTGCATTTCTTGATGCCGGGGTTGATGGGTCATACGTCCATATCCTTCATCAAAACATATGAAATCCAAAAGTGGATTGAGATCAACACATGATCAAGGAGCTGAGCAATGGTTAGCCTTGGGTATACGCTAGCAAGCTTAATTATCCGTGCAAGGATTTGATGTCATCAAAATATGAACCATGTTATCAGCACCACCCATCCACACCAGCCAATTAACCCCAACTCAAGAGTGATTAAGATTATAGAAGGCAATTAATTATTTTGGCAAAGTGGAATACATCATTATCTAATGCTTGGAATAGCTGAATCGCTAAACATGAGCACATGTTATTCAGAGGGCAACATCATCCCCCCCCCCCCCTTTTTTTTTCCCCTATTTCTTTCTCAGAGATGATGCCTGAACTGCTTTTAAACAAAATGGAAAAAGCCAAAGAAAAAGGAATATCTCAGCATGTCCCTTTTTCCAGGCTCCCAAACTCTATCTTTCCTATATGTACTCTCAGAATATCACCAGGATTTGCAGCATTACCTGACTGTGCCATCCAAAGAAGCACTTGCAATATTATCCCCAGACGCAGAAAAGCGGCACCGACTGATTGGACTTGTGTGGCCTAAGAATGTTTCCTACAAACAAAGGTTTTCAGAAAAATAAGGGACATGCTGACCAAAAGAAAAATAAGGGACATAGGTCAAGCATCAATGAGAAAACAAGTGTAGGCATTAAATGACACAAATTTTGGCCCCGAACAAAGGGACACAACAACAAATTGGAAGCCTAATTTAAAGGGGGAAAATGACCAAGGCCTCGGCAATTTTACCTGAAAGTCTACTTTTGCTTCTGGGAATTCTTCTGCTCCCGGCATTTCTCTGCCAGTCTCTGCCACACACAATTACTTATCATTTAATAAAATTAACAGATACCTCAACAATACAGAGATCTGTATGAAGGTTAACATAAATCAAAGGCATCTCATCCCAGCCACTTAGGGTCGGAGACTCAAACACAAATCCCAGTAGGATATGTCAGCCCATGAAAACCAGATGTTCAGTAAAAGCCATGATGGTTCTGGTAGCATCCAACTACAGCAAACATAGAAATCTAGTTCCTAGTTCGTACCAAACCATTTTATTCAGCTCCCAGACCGAAGTCATTACTGACATAATTAACACATCATCATCCCAAATCAATATATTCAGTATCAAGCTCTCATACAGTGACAACATGACAAATCGATGAACCAACTTTAGCAATTAGGAAAAAAAGAGAGATTTAGTCATGCACTTAATCCATGCAAAGGGAAAAAGAAAAAGACAGTAATTCGATTGTGCCTTTGTTCAGTGAGGATTATATCACAAAATGAGTAGAAATTGGCCATTAGATCACAAATCATTTGTCTTCTTTTAGACAAGACAGAATAGATTACAGGGTTCAAGAAACTATACGTAATTTTCCCTGACTTTTTCCACTACTGAGCATAAATAATTTGTATCACACTCATTAAAATGTTGATTCTTGATTGATTGCCCAAAAAATTGCTCCACAAAACTCAGGTAATTACTGACATGTAGATGGTTCCTTTATTGCGGTCAGAAGATCGCACATTTAGCTCACCTTCCTTTACTCAGAAAAGGTACATAAAGCATACACTATCGTTACTTACCAACAGAAAAGCTATCATGGAACATCTGAATGGAATTGTTCCTTTCACTGTCTCTGGGATGATTACTTGTTTTAGAAGTTGAACCATGAGCTTCGGCAGGACTGGAACCATCCCAATCCTGAGTGGACTCTATTTCACCCATCTGTGATGTTGCAGGCACAAAGGTTTCAAGAGAAAACATGGGTGGAGAAATTGTTTCTTCCATAACAAAGTGTGGGGAGCTGTTTTTTCCTCCAATGCCAACTTCCATCACCGATGAAGCATTGCTGACATCAAAACAAAGCAATTAGCGAGAAATAGATTCAAGAGAAGAATCAGTGACAGCACACGCTCACCTCCTTGACTGACATAACTGAGCCTCCTTCTCTTCCAACAAAACCTGAAGTTGTGATAGTTTGAGATTAAGTTGCTTAATGTCTTTTCTGAGACGATTTATGGAATTCCTCTCCGAACTGATCTTCAATAAGGCAGGTATGCGTGGATTAGCTAAGGAGAAATGCTGCGGATCCAAATTCAACAGTAATGATGCTGAAGTATTAGAAAAACAAAATAAATAAAATATATTGTCTAAGAGTCCCCGCCTCCACTGTTTGAAGTACTCAACTCAACGCAACAAAAACTTTCTTAATGTGGATAATCAATCTCCAAATCATCTGATAAAAAGGCCAATATGGATGTCACAGGGACAGATCCAAGCAAGAACTCTTGAATAATCACAGGTCAATAATAACAAAGAGGATGGCATGTTTAAAAGGAAAATAAATAGCAGATACAGGCATTTGACACTGTCCAACCAAAATTCTGATCACAATAAACTTCAAAGGGTGCTTTCATGTCATTCCTTAAACCTCTTTCTGGGTTATCTGGCAAAAAAGCAAACCAGAGGAACATGGAGGGAGAAACTAAACCACCAAGTGCATTCGAGGGTCTCACCAAACAAACTGAAGTTCAAGCCTTCCAAACTTATCCAAGGTAGCTGCACTTTTAGAACTCTCAAACAGCATTCTCAGGAAAGATAGATATGAGACAAGATGCTTGTCATCTTAACAAAACAACTTAATCAGGGATTTTTTTTGGGTCCACCCGGAGGGACGGGGAGAGAGAGAGAATTACTTCAATTGGCCATCCAGGTACCGACATTACAAAAATAACATTAACTCATGAACTATAAGGAGATAACTGGTTAAAAACTAACAAGTGATAGTATTTAAGCTAATAAGTATTAGAAGAGAAATATCTCAAGAATCTATACTGAAGGATATGAGTGCCATTAAACATCTCGCTGAGAAAGTTCCTAACAGACAGATGCAAGGCGTCAAACCACTCCTTTGAAAAGTATAAGCGAAAGCGGGGATCGAAGTTTGGATTCTTAAGATATGGGATAGCTGCACAAAATATTTTAAAGGTCAATTTCAAGATGGTAAACAATTTAAGAGACAAAAACCGACAGAGAGAAAGACTTACCAAACCATGAATTCCAATCTTGGTCTCTCTGCAACAAGTCATTGCCATACATCCCAAAAAACTCTATGACTTTGTCCGTCCTTCCTGATTGTATGGCATGAATGATATAGTAGCGTAGAATAGAGACCTCCAATTTTGATAGTGTGGCAGTAAGAGTTGTCTCAGAAGAAGAAAAGCACTGCTTGAAAAAGCTCAGCAGACGAATCAAATTTTCTGCTTGAAATTTGGGGACATGCACTGAGAAAATTAAGTCCAATATCTTATCCATTTGAAATCCTTTGCCAATTTCAGTGCCCAACTCTTTCTCAAAAGCTTGCAAAGTGTTGGTAAACCCTCTGAAGACAAGAAACTCCCTCACTAGCTCCTCTGCATATTGCATATTCTCCATCTTTTCTTGGAGATGCATTAACACCTGAATTTCAAATTTCGAATCCTAAAACCTAACATTGGAGAAGGAGAACAAGAAAAATTCACATATGAAAGCAAGATCATCGAAAACTCTTAAAACGAATCGACAAACGCAAATTAAACTTTCGCAAAACATCGAACTATAACCATGATTGGTAAACAAGTGTGCTAAACTTACCTAATTTATCTGATTCCCCTCGCTAGGGATTCCGACGAAGGAAGAATTGGCTCCGAAGCCTCCGACCGTCGCAGAAAAATGCTATATGTGTCCTTAACTAGATTGGAGGGCATATTCGTCCTTTTAACATATTTATCAATTGGTTCTTGAACTTTATTTTTATTTTTAGTTTTAGTTTGATTCTTAAACTTTCAATTATTTTAATTCAGTCTCTCAATTATTAATTTCCTTTCAACAAAATTTTTTTGTCTTTTTTATCCTGTTAGATCAAATGGAGACTAATCAGATCTGATCAATTTCCACCATTAAATTATAAGCATTTGATGTAATAATTCAAATGGAGACTAATCGGATCTGATCAATTTCCACCATTAAATTATAAGCATTTGATGTAATAATGAAAATTGACGAAAAGATTTAAATGAAATGAAATCGATAATTAAGATATTAAATTAAAATAATTAAAAGTTTAGGGATTAAATTAAAATTAAAGTCAAAATTGGGAGCCTAATTATGAAATTTTCCCTAATATAAAATTACATCCGCACCCCCATAGATTGTCCCATCTTTAAGCCTTCTCTTCTATACACTGTTTGTCCCTGCCCCACTTCTCATTCATGGGTTTTAGTTATTGGTATTAGTAGCCTCTCTGTCTCCTCTCTTTTTTCCGACTGCAATATGTTATCTGGAGCGATCCCCCGATGACAAGGGCGTCCGTCTCCTCTTCAATCGCTTCTCAGGTGACCCATATCTCTTGCTTGCGTTTTGGATGATTCATTTCAGGGTAACCATCTCTCCCTCTCTCTTTTTTTATTGTTTTGAAGTTTTGAATCATGTTTTAGGGTGGGAATTTTAGTGTTTTGAGCTGGAATCGACTATGGATAACGTGTTATTTGTATTGGGTGCATTTGCATCTATCAAAGAGCTTGTTCATCTGCTCCTTCGTTGAATTATGGTTATATGGTTTTCTTTAGCTTCAAGGGCACTGGTGACTCTATCCGTTCTCGTGTACAACAAACTGGATTATATAATACCCAAAAATCGAATTTGGTAGTTGAGTAGTATTATATAGGATTTTAATTTTCATTGCTTGTAGGTTACTTCAATTGTTTCTAATCTCTTGGTTAAAATAACATCATTGTTGAGTTTTGATGATCATACTTTTGGTTTACATATCAGTATTACCTGTTTAGATGCCGTGTAGAATGTGGTAATTAATTAGAATTCCACATGTTTCCTTGTGCTTGTGCAAAACAGAGTATTCTCTATGATCAGTGGCGGAACCAGAGATTTCAATGGAGAAAATATGAATGGTTTAGGGAGGCTACCATTGGAGTGTAAATGAGATTGATAGCCAGTTTTGTTGTGGTAAGTGAGAATTTCTTTTTATGCGTTCCTTAGACTATGACTTGAACTGGTGATCTTGCAAATTTTGTCTCTATGGTTTGGAATTCATCCGTTTAATAATCCATGTGGAGCTATCTTTCTTACTGTCACATGAAACTAATACAATCTTTTTTTTAAAAAAAAATTCTTTTGCATTTTCAATAATGCAAAACAAGTATGTTTGAGAAGTTTGTTATGGATTTGTGGTTATGCAGCTGACTATTTTGCAGCTGCCTTCTATACTAAAGATAATTCTGCATAATGAGGGTTCAATAAATGTGAAGAAATCAGTATATATATGGTCAATTTAATCTGAACAACAGTCACAAATACATGATCTAACCAAATTTTGTACCATTTTACCTTAACTATCTAGGTGACATTGTGGAATAACTACATGTAGCATTAGATAATGGATGACTAGGGATGGTGAAAGAGCTGAAATGATTGAACTCGCTCTTCATGGCCTTATATACATGATCTAAGCCTTCTTCAATCAACTCCAAAACTGTCTGCGGCATTGGTGGTACATTAATATCAACTGATCCTTCCAACATCTTCACTACTTCACCCATTGAAGGTCTCATAAAAACCTCATCCTGGATGCACCAGAATGCTACTTTCAAAGTTCTCACGAGCTCTTCTTCTTCGATTGCTCCTTCTAGTCTTCTGTCTGCTACTTTCATCGTTGTCCCCTTTGTCATCTCCTGGAAGAATCAGAATCCATGTGTTCAATTCTTAGACAACTAAGGTATCATATCAAATTTGACAATGCCAAACATATTGTGTTGTGTGTATGTGGCTGTCAAGGCAATCTTCTTTGAAGTTGCTTAAAACAAGCTTCAATACAGCATTCAAATAAAAAATTAGCCATAATTTTTGGATACCTTGAAAGCCCATCCAGGGAAGAAGAAGTCCTCTGTGCTGAAAGTCATGTCTAGGTTTCTCCGGCCACCAACAATCTCGAGAAGCAGCATCCCGTAACTATAGACATCAGCCTTTACAGTTATCGGGCGGTTGCTGACCCACTCGGGGGCCAAGTAGCCTCTGGTTCCTCTGATCATAGTAACAACATGTGAGTGCTCTCTCCCCATCAATTTTGCTAGTCCAAAATCTGATACTTTTGGACAAAAGTTCTCATCCAAAAGAATATTTTCTGGTTTGATGTCACAATGTATAATCCGGTCCCGACATTGCTCGTGAAAATAAGCAATCCCTTGGGCAGTACCGACGGCTATGTGAAAGCGAGTTGACCAGTCTAGAAGTCTGTCTCGACAATTATATGAGGGAAATATCCATTTATCCAAGGACCCATTTTTCATGAACTCATAAACAAGAAGCCTGTAATAACCCATTTTCAAAAAAAAAAAAAAAAAGACTATACAATCATTTAAATCTCAAAAAATAAATTAATAAAGTAATCATAGAAATTATTTTATATTTGGGGCTCTCGGTTATATCTAAAACTTGTTGCAAAGAAAAATTGCATACCGGTGTGACCCCTCAGAACAGTACCCACACAGACGAACCAAGTTCATATGATGCATAGAGCCAATGGTGTTGACTTCGGTTATAAATTCCTTCTCCCCGTGAGGCAAAACCCTGTCAAGCTTTTTTACCGCTACCAATGTCCCGTCTCCTAAGCTTCCCTTATATACACTTCCAAATCCACCTGCAAAAAGTACTCAAACATCACTAAAAAGCATTAAACTGTTAGTTAGGCTAGTTTCCTCTGTTTTCATACCCTGGTTCTTACTAGATCACAATAATCTATACTCTAGACTTACCTGTTCCAAGCAACTGGGAAAAATTGTTAGTCTTGCATTGCAAATCACGATAACTGAAATTCATCGGAGCACCTGACACAATCAGGGAGTTTTTAAGAACTCTCTTTAAGGATCTCCTTCTATGGACACTGATATACAATAAGCAACAGAGCAGCCCAATTAGAAGCGTCATGCTGAGGACAATAGGAAGAACCAAGGCCTTATCATGGGCACTCCCTGACCCTTTTGAAGAATCCCCAGATTTTTTGGTGTTGGTCGCTCGTGTTGGGGTGCCATTAGCCTCAACCTTGACAAACAAGGTTGAGCCTGGGTCCTCAAATCCTCCAAACTCCAACCTCCGCAGAACCCAACAGTATGGCTTTTCCTCACTAAGCCCATAAACAGACGCAACACAGTTGCAATCTGATAAACAAACATCACCACACTTAGATACTGTCGTTATATCACTATAGTTTGCTATTACTGATGATTCATAGTAATAGTAATTGGTTTGCTGCACACTTTCTATCTTAATCTGAGATGTTAAATTCTCACGATGAGGGCCACATTTTCCAGTTAAAGAAGAATTTCCTGAGCACTGGACAGAATTGACCACCTTAGAAGTCCCTGGCAAGCATGTACAAGAAGCATTTGTCTTGCTTCTGTCCAAATTACATATCCCATTGCCACATATACCAGCAATATCACATGGGTTAGACACTGCTGCCCACTCTGGTACCCATTGGCGTGACCCATTAAGATCATTGTCCCATCGATACAAACGTAGATTTCCATTAGTCTCAAGGGTTAACCTTCGAAGAACTGATGACCTTCCTGTGACTGATTGATTTGCAGTTGATGATAGTCCTCCATTATCTCCATCATTCTTGTAAACATATACAGCTCCATCCAACGATGAACCGTACACTATTCCAAAGCTTCCTGCTTCATCCATAACTGCAACAACATCCCCGGTGACATTGGATATATCAGGTCCTGACCAGTAGGAGTAGTTGGTGTAAGAATCTGGCGATGTGTCATAAGATTCTGGCAAATTGTAGGTGAGTGCAAGGCTCAGTGAAGTGGGTTGTTGCAACATTTCGAGTGTGTAATAACCACCATGCGAAGGTGACCTTGATGAAGTCAGCTCTTGTGAGACCGTTAAAGGTTGGCCAGGCAACAGTGTATCTGATGGGTGTGAAAAGCTTTGCCATGCAATATTCAGGTCAATGTTGTATAGAATGAAATTTCCATTATCTGCCATAACTGCCGTTTCAATGCCTACTCCGGAGGTGTTTGACGTCCATACAGTGGTGTCTCTGTCGACTAGCATGAGATTTCCGGTGGTGTCGAACTCCAAGATTGCATCTTTGCTGACTGGAGATTTTCTATTTAGATGATCCAGAGAAAATGAATTGGTTGGCCAAATGTAATATACACCTGCAAAAGCCTTGGTAGAGGTGGAGTAATGGACGTTTGTGCTTTCTTCTATGTCAAAAACCATTGACCATCCTGAAGGCTTCTCTAATATACCTCCAAGAGATTTTTAGAAGAGTGATGGAGGTTAAAAAAAAATTGTGTAGCATGATTATGATCCTGCTGATGTTTATATTATAGTTTAGCAACGTTTTTAAATTATTTATTTTAAGCAAAATTATGTGGAATTACTATTCGAAGTAATCTAGATTCCTTTTTTTAATAGAAACAATAAACTTATATACGTGTATATGTGTTATATTATACGTTAGAGGCAAGAAGTAAGTCCCGAACAAATAACGCAAAAAAAAATACAAAAAACAACCATTGCATAGAAAAGTATTTAAAAAACAAAAACACAAAAGTACTTTAAGGAAACGCTACCTACTGATAGTTTTGACACGGGTGTTTGTGAACCCATGTACGAATAACAGTTTTAACCATGCAAGTTCAGGAGAAAAATGTAATCTGGTTTTGTTAAACTTACATATTTGCAGACCAAACCAGGGTGCGATCTCCGGGGAGCTCTGCAAACCATATTGCCAATTGCAGTCGGTCAGTTGAGTCTGTAGGAGTAAAGCCGAAAGCAAAGGTCCCATTGTCAGAAACCCATGTTTGGTTCTCATTAGCCAACAATCTCGAGCCCAAGCTAATTCCACTAGACATGCAACTTGCAAGCTCGACCAAAACCAGGAAGAACAAGGTCCGAGAAGACGAAAAACAAAACGAGGAAGAACAAGTAGCAGCAGCAACAGCAGCCATTGTGAGCTTAAGTGGCCAGTGATTGAAGAAGGGTTAAAAAGGCTTCGTTTGGAGAAGGCTTGAATGAGTTATTTATGAGAGAGATTGTAGAGAGAAGGATGATCAGGATTAACTGATTAAGAGATGTATGTGGGGAAGAAAATTTAAAGAACATAACACGTATACAGAGGTGGGTGAGCTACAACGTTGAAAAAACAAATCCCATTGCAGTGGTCGGCACAAGAGATTATTGGATGTAGTGGCACGTGTTTAATCCTTTGTGGCATTTCAGACTTTTAAAGGGACTCTGACCAATCGAAAGGCCAATGCCTAATTACTCGTCTGCATGAAAATTTTTCTGATTTTCATACTGGACATGGCAGACGGGTTTGGGACTCTGGCTGTTGGTGCTCTTTCATTTTAACTTCGCCAGGACATTACTACGTACACATTATCGGCACGGGGACCAAATGAGATCATGCTTATGTTAGTTTCAGAACACTCTTGATTATTCCTTCGAGCCCAACGATTATGCACCGTGGGTATTTAGTTTAGTTTGAGAAAGTTAAAGACACAAGAGGAAAGCACTCTCCTATGGAAGTTTCAATTTTAAAGTCCAAGTTAAATTTTTTATTGGTGAAGTTATTAATGATCAATCACAATATTTTGTAATTGATTGTGAATAACTTCAATTAGTTATAATTTAGGTCTAAATTGACCATTAAAGCAGTAATTTTTGGTACGTTGAAAAATTATTTTCAATATTGTAGTGTTATCCTAAAAGAAAAAGTTCCATCAAATATCGTTTTCACTTTGGAGTTTCTTGTGAAGTGGACACCAGTGCAATGGAAAATTTTTCTATACACCCAACTTTCCTTTGTACCAAATGCAACATAATGGTCGGCGCGAGATAAGCCGACCAAACCCACCACCGGATTATCGGGCCATTGACTATCCAACAGGCCAGGTCATGCTCGATGTCGAGGGAAAGGCCAGCCTATTGCCTAGCCAGATCCTATCCATCATGCCAATGGACCATGACGCTCCTGCCAGGCCTTGGGCTACAAGTCCGCTATGAAGTCCTAATTAGGTTTTTTTTTTTTTTTTTAGATAATAGAATATGAGTATCTTTTTTAAAACTTATTTGAGGGGATCCACTCCAAAATAGCCTAAGTTTTGAAGGGATAGATGTAAGTTTATAAACCCGAGAGAGCCATCGGTGGAGTGCCTACTATTTGCATATTTACATCATCATCAATATTCATTGTCAAAGCCTTGGCTTTGTCAACAGATTAATTAATTGCTATTGCTATATGGTCAAGTTGGATGGACCAGCCGATTGAAAATAGAAGCAATTGCATCATCATGATTGGAGGGGACCAGATTTTCAAACCACATTGCTTGCTTTTCCATACAGAAATTACTCCCAGCCCAGGATCATATCATAAATGTCTATATCTTTTTACATCACTGCTTGCAAAATCTTGAGGCTCACGTTTTTTTATGCTATTCGTCAATTCCACACAAGCTATTAGGTAGTTCGAAGCAAAAAACACTTATAACGCCATAAATTTGAGGGTAAATTTCACTTATATTTTTTGGATTTAAGTTATATTTTATTGTCACTCTTTTTAGTTTTTAAAATATCACTGTATAGTCTTTTCAGTTTTTGTTTCTTAATAGAATACCTAATTTTACTAAATTACCCTTAGTAGACCTCTCATTTTACTTAATTACCCTTACTCAAATTAATACAAAAATAATCTATAATTGAATCAAATTAACATCAAATTGACTTTTAATTTTGTTTGATTAATATTCAATTAATATTTAATTTTATCAAATTAACACTAAATTAATATTTAATTTTATCAAATTAGCACCAAATTAATATTAAATTTTGCCAACTTAACATTCGCATTCATCAAATTACCATTTAATTCATTCAATTAACATTCAATTTTATCAAAATCATATTAAATTTCTTCAAATTTATACAATTTTTTACCAAATTAATGTGAAATTGATCTTAAATTTTATAAAATTATCATTTTACTTCAGCAAACTAATATTCAATCTCATTATATCGATATTCAATTTTCATCAAATTAACTCCAAATCAACATTTAATTTCATCAATTTAATATTCAATTTATCAAATTAACATTCAATTTTATCAAATCAATATCAAATGGTCATTCAATTTTATAAAATTAACATTCAATTTTTTTGAATTTAATATTTAGTTTTATCAAATTAATATTATTTTTTAAAATTAACATTTTGTTTGATACAATTTTTTTTATAGGAAACATTCTATTTAATTCAATTAGCATTTAATTTAATTTAATTAATATTAAAATGATGTTTAATACTACTTTAAACTTAATAGTATAGACGGAGTATGGTAAATTTGGCAATTCATAAAAGAATAAATCATCACATCACACTAGGGGTAATTTGTGAAACATGTATATAATTACAGGGGCGTGTAGTGATATTTTAAAAAGTAGGAAGGATATCAGTGAAATATGACTTAAATCTAGAGTGTGTGACTGAAATCTACCCTAAATTTTAATTTAATACCAATTAAAATGCACAATTCTACAATAAATCTTAAGTGACTAATTGGCTTTGGCAAGTGAAGTATTTACCCTTGATCCTAAGTGATTAGGGGGTTTTGAGCAGACTAGCTCGACTTTTGTTGATGTTGGAAATCGAATACTATTGCAGAAGTGTACGGTCAAAAATATATTTTGCCCACTTAATTCTGAAATCTTTGAAAGATTTTTCAACGAAGTCGTTGTTTTTGCTTGTTTGGGGTTGACTTTTTTATGTGCAAAACAGATGTTTCAAAAATTTCATGAGAAAGTCCAGAGTTAAAAAAACTTTTAAATTTGTTGAGTGTTCCTGAAAATATTAATATTTCCTTGGATAAACCCAATGTATCAATTTTTCCTCGGTAGTAACTTAATAAGTTCATAGAAAAATCGTCCAATAAACGGGGGTCAAAATGAACTAGGTTTTTTTCCTCTGAATCCAACAAAAACCGAAGTTTTCAGTCCCCCACCCTCTCAAACAAACCTAACTGTCTTTTCTTTGATTGCTCGAGTGATGTATATAATAAAATACTTAGTAATTTGAATTTTTATCTCATATATTTCTCTTTCTAAAAAAATCACATCACTTATTTTTATCACATGTTCAATCATTTAATATTTGATTAATTTTTATTTCAGACATTATTTATACAAGATAATATACATATTTTGAAAAAATTTAATAAATTTTTTTAGCGTTCGAATTTTATATTTTATTATGCCTTCAAACACGATTTATGATTAATATGTTGACTTTACACAATAAAAATCAACACCAAATTTTTTCCAATACAAAAGTCTTTCTTCAAGGATACGTAGGGAAAGAGATCTTTTTTTGAAGATCTCTATTAAAATGTCTTAGGATTTATATAGAAACTAATAACTAATAAGTGTTTTGAAGAAGAACATGTCAATCAGTGATTTAATAAACACATCTTTTAGAGTCCACTAAACGACACATCCCTTGACATCCTTTAATTGAATCGACCAACCATTTGAATATAACGGTAATACCACTTTACCATTGATGGCATGGTATTTTTTATCGATAATAAAACTAAAAATAAGAAAGGTGAATCTTATATGGACTTACATGATAGGAGGGTAGAAAGTTATTTGTTTAAATGACAGATTAGTTATTAATTTTTGTGAGGTTCATGTGTTTATTTTAGTACTATTAATTAATTATACCACATCGCCTTATCATCGTATATTACCGTTGTAATAAATATTTTCTGGAACAAACGCCATTCGGTTCATAACTCAAATTGATAGAAATTGTTTGAATTTCTGAATAAGTAGCAAAGCCATCAAAACATATAGAATTGAGAATTAGATGTGTTCGGATTCTCTAGAGTTCTGATCATCCCGACCGTTGAAAATGGATTTGAAGGCCCGGATTAGCCCACATCAGCATTGCATTTTCCTTAAACGTTGCCGTTTCAATGTCCAGACAGATAAATTACAGATTTTTCCCTCCGATTATAACAAAATGAAAAATGCTGCGACTTTGTAAGCTATCTCATCCCATGCAAACTTTCAACGATATTCGATTGAATGCAAAACTGAAATGATTTAATGAAATTTGTGGGATGGCCTGTATGATCTTGATCTGCAATCATTCTTGAGTTCAGTTTCCATTTCTTTCCTTTTTTTTTTTGATCCACTTTTAATCCCTAACTACGCATTTAGTATTTATGTAGTCTCTAATATTTCAATTGTGTCTATTTGATTTTTAATATTTCATTTGATAGAAATGATAGAAAGTTAAAAAGATGGAAAATAAGAAGAATACACTTTCTTTTCTTCAAGGAAGGAAAGTATGAATAATACATTTTTTTTTGTGTTTGGTTAGACGGATAGAAAATAAAAATGACTATTTTTTTTTTTGTACTGGCTAAGATTAGAGATGACAATCGAATCGTGTCATGTCAGATTTGTGTTGAATTATTACAGGTTTGCGTCTAATAATAATCAAACATAACTCAACTAATTTAACTAATTGTGTCATGTCAAGTTACAAATTGACCTGTTTATTTTCGTGTCATATTCGTGCTGACCCACATAAATTTTGGAATAAAAAATTTAACGTTAATATTTTATTTTCACTTAATTGAATTCATGTTAATATTTTTTCTACAAACTAAAATTTAACTTAAATAAATATAATAATAATAAGTAAAAATATTTTTTTTATATAATAATTATGTCAGTGTTTAATAAATAGTTACAAATAATTAACATTTTATCTTTATAATATTAGTTAAACATGTTAATTTCGTATTACCATACAAATGAAAAAATAGAGAAAGTGTTTATTTTTAAATAAACGGGTTGATGGTGTCAATTTTGAGTTTGACTAGTTGAACTGAATATGAGTATTTAATATTTCTTGTTCGCGTGTCAGGTCATTTTCAAGTTCGTGTTGAGTTCGAGTCGTGTCATCGTGTTGAATCAAAAATTTTCACCCTTAATTAAGATGAATTTTTTTTTAACTGAATTTTTTTTTTTTTTTTTAAAAAATTTTTAATATATATATATATATACATATTTTATCATTGTATTTTTATATAAAATTAATATATACATAATATATGTATTCATTAAAAAATATATAAACAAATAAGATGCATCTTAATACAAATAATTAATTTTTCATTCAATTTACTTCCAATTTTGGAAGAATTAATTCATCCACTTTTTTATTTTTATTATTTTATTTCCTCATCAAACATGATGTATTATTTATCTCATAACTTCTATCTTTCCATTTTTTCATCTTTCCAAACAAAGTATAAGGTTTCTAATTTGTATCTATGTGGTCCAATTCTAAACGTCCATAAAAAAAATAGTGATTGTTCTAGTCATGTGTCAATTACGTAATTTTTTATTTTTATATTTTTTTTATCTTTAAAATTTTTAATTTGTGTTTATTTGATCCCCGTGATCGGTGGATGACTTAGAGGCAATGATTTTTTTTTACGGATATTTAAAATTAGACCATATATAAATTAAGAACATTAAAAATCAAATAGATACAATTAAAAAATTAGAGACTAAATAAATACTAACCACATGATTTGAGGATTAAAAATGTATTTTTCCCTCTTTTTTTTTTCCGTATCCAAGACAAGAGCGAGAAGCTCTCTCGATGAAATTTCTGATGAACAGTTCATGCTGTTCATCGCATCGTACCACGGCACCGAGCTGCTTCGTCGGAAGCTGCTGAGCTGAGTACCCAATTTTGGGTGAATCACAAAATTAGGGCTTTTGGATAATGTAGAAAACTACTTTGTCTCTCAGATGCAACGCTTCGCTCAATGTTTACGATCTAAATTCAGGCAAATCAGGAGTTGCCACAATGTAGGCCCTTGCAATCACACGCTCGTTCACAGCTTTTGCCTTTTCTCAAGTCCCAATGCTAGGGTTAGGGTTTTGGAACTCTATAAAGCCTCAGTCTCGCTCATTTGTGCCTCTTTAATTTCTATCTGTTGTTGGTATTTACGGTTCTACATGAAACGGATCAAACACAAAAGTTATTGTTTAGCTGATATTGATTTACTTCATCCGGTAAGTCCTGGTTCACTTTATCTGCAATAAAATAAACAATCTGGTTCCATGTAGATGAAGTTGGTGGTGGTTGCATGGCATGGTAGTAGATATGTTTTGATAATATTAGTGTCTATTCACAATTTGTTAAAAATTCTGGAACAATAAATAAAAAAAAAACATTCTTTTTTGGATCTTAATTGTATTTATGACGATTTGGATTCTTTGTAACTGCTTTTTGTCTTTGAGAAAACATCAGGGGGGGACCATTTGGTGTCTAGTCACATTCTAGTTCTGGGTTTTGCCCCTGAAACATCACCCAAGGTCGACCTCTATCGCCGACATCTATGGGGACCGTTGTCTGCTACTTTTTGTTGCTTCATATTGTTTATGAATAATAGTTGGTTAAATTTGAATGCAAAGGACATAGGCTGTTTTTTAGCATTAGAACTTAGAGTTGAACTCACCACCACTCAGACTGTTGGTGGATGTAAAAGCCTGAAACTTCCTTACCAAGAGAACTTTGTGATATCTTGTTCAGATTTTTAATATCTTTTGTTGCTGATTCAAGGATATGTTACGGTTATGTAAAAATAATGGGTATCATTTGAATATTCCATCTTTTTTCCCTATTTGTAGAAAATGGAAGTTTCCATGTCTTCTAATTTCCCTGATTGGAGAGAAGGGGGATTGCAACAGTTTTACATGTTAAAAAATCGAATATGGTACTGAATCCATAAAAATAATTACATTGGATGTTGGTCAATGCTTCAGATATTTAAATGTCATGATCTTTTTAAGTGTGTAGGTTGCGTGATAAACTTTAAATGGATAACGAAATTGAAGATAAATTAAGATAGAATTCACTTGGATAGTGACAACGTATTTGTAGAAGACATAGGACTGCACTAGTGAGGATTAGTGACCAAAATTAAGTTCAACTGAAATAGTAAAGAAAAAAAACTTATCGGTTTAATAGAAAATATGATCTTTGATAGAGTACACATTCATGTAGTCAACCCTAAATACTTAGGGTAAGACTATGTTGAGTTGAATTGAGTATTAATAATGATACGGTCTTACACCATCCATCTGGTAACTGCCTGTTTAGTGTTTACCAAATAAAAGGTTTTGGTTGGTGAATGCTTGCAATAGTTGAGTTATATCCTTTCCCTTACTAATATTATCTGATTCCTCTGTATAATTGGCAGCCAGACAGGCCTGCAGATGTTGGTATATAATACTTTCGTTTTCCTTTGGGGAACATTACATAGCACATATTATAAATCTGACTTCTAGAAGTCTTACCTGCTATCTTTTTTTCTCCAAGGCGCTGGTGACAGGTGTGACAGGAACAATTTTGAACAGATTAAGGTCTTCTCAATGTACAAAGTATCTTTGCATTGTAGTATCATCAAAATTGGGGCATTATATGAATGTTCCATTCTGAAAATTTTTGGGATCTTACCCTTAGATGTTATTTAATTCTTCATAGAATTAAATATTTCGATACATAACCAAGTAGTTTATCATTTAGTCTGGGTTTGTTACAGCATCATTTGGGATCTAAGCATCATAATGGTGAAACAGTCCTTTCAAAGTGCATTACCCACCCAAATAAAATTTGTTAAGAAAAAGCACTCAAATAATAGGTAATGACAACTAAAGCAAGCAAAGCAAAATCGACACTTGGTGCAGCATATATGGGTCAAAGGAAAAGAATAGAAGCACATGACTTAGTTCTGATTGTTCTTCCTTTATTTAAGTTATGTAAGTAGCTTGGATTAAACCTAAGGAGTTTGCATGTACTTGTTTGCCTTTAACACTAAACTTTTGATAATATCTGATTATCTGTTAGTGTGGAGTATTAAAAAGTAGTGGAAAGATGCCGTCTTCATTGGGAAACTAGTAAAATAATGAATGAATATTGAAGGTAAACTAGAGGTGCAACTGAATGAGTGCTTGTGGGTTTCGCATTTCTGTTTCTTTTCTCCTTTTTTTCATTTTCATTCATTATTTAAAAATGTTTGTCGCTAGACAACCACATATAATTGTTAGGAATAGGATAGTAGGGCAATATGTACTTATATAAATAACTTTGAGATATGTTTCCATGAAAGAAAGGCCTTAGCTATTACCTCCACTTATAGCCTTGAACTATACATACATACTTTGTTCTCCTCTCATCCTGTACTACCAATCGAGAGAGACAGATATGGAGACTTCCCAACCTCTCTCCATTGAGAGCTTTTCATATAGTTGGTTAGTAAACTTAAAGCCGTCTTTTGATAGCCTTGAAGACTCGTTCAGAGCCTCCCTTGATGCATCCGATGAAGCTTCCTTCATTGAGATGGATCCAAAACTAACTCCCTCAAAGAGATTCTTTAAAGTTTCTCAGGATTTCAATTTTGATTTTCCCATATCACAATCTCCTCTGACTCTTGTTCATGCTGATGAACTCATCTCCAATGGCTTTCTTATGCCTCTTTTTGTCAAACCACTAAAGATGGAAGCTTATGATGCCTTAAATTCGACTCCGTCTACGCCTGTCTCTTCAGATTCCCAGAAAAATGTGCATACAGCCAGTAAGGTTCGCTGTTCATCATTGAGAAGGTGTCGTCGATTATCAAAGCAAATCTTTCAGAAATATTTGGATTTTCTTAGGCTACTGTGTCAAAGAATACAAGGGCGAAAATCAGGTTCGAGAGCTGGAACTATTGATGCAAGAATGCAGGAAGTTGAGAACTGGGAATACTCACCTGCAACATCTCCCCGGACCAGTGAAGCATATCCTGCTGATAATTGGCGCAGCTCTTGTGATTCTGAGAGCTCAATTTATGAGGCCGTTCTCCATTGCAAAAAAACCATTGGTACGCCAATTTCCTTCTAGTTTTTACCATCGTTTCTTCAACACCTATGGAGCATTTTTAATGTTCTAATGTTCCACAAAACTTGGTTATTTCAGGTAAATAGATGATGCTGTTGCACAGAAGAGAACAAAGAGAAAAGCCAGAGGAAAAGAAATGAGGTCTCAAGAAGATCATCAGTCACTTGTAAATATGTCTGATCGAGAGAGAGTAGAAATTGAGTATGGCAAAATTTCTCCGTCGCTAGAGAAAAATTTCCAACTAGGGGGAATCTCTCCCTTGTTTTGTGAAGTTTATTATTTAATGGAATCAGAATTATTTGATTGTTGAATGTTTCCATACTTGAACAGATGTAGTCTAATTATGAAACACTTGGTGCATGATGAAAATGGGTGGAAAGAGTTACAGATTTTTTTGTTCTTCGTAAGGATTAGAAATGCACTCATCTTCAAACAATTTTAATGTCGTACATTGTGAAGAAACCCAAATTTTAATGTCCCCCGCGATAAGTACAGTCTGTTGTGGAACTTCTCGCGATTATGGCAAAACTTCTTTTGTATAGACCAAGCTTTTTCTAAATTGATCCATGAAAACTATTTCCTGCTCTTGACTTTGTTTCCTTTTGCTGAGTGTTATTAAGTTTATTCCAACTTTTTCTACAAAAGAACTGACAGACCAGTTTGTTACTCGTTCTCTGTAATTCTCTACTTATGAATCATGAAGCAGCAATACGCTATCACTTGAATCGGATATGAACAGAGGCCCTTTTTTCTAATTCATGTCTCAACATCACCATCTTTTAGTCTGGAAAGCTGAAAAGTGAGAAGATCTTTCTTTAATCCCACTGAACTTTAGCTTTCCTTCTCAATTCTTTATTAGTTGCCACGATTATAAAGATTAAATTGTGTACTGACCCCTTAATTATAGCATATCAATCGATCGAAAAAAATTACTTTCAAGGGTGGTTGAACGTGACATTTAGTAATTCAAAGGTCCCACCTTTTAATCCCTTCTCACAATCCCTTAAGAGTCATCCATATTTGTTCTTTAGGAATGTTCTAACTCGGTTCAAGTCATAGTGACAATCGCTGAGTTCGAGGAATAGTAAATATAAGCTTGAATATCATATAGTAAAAAAAAAAAAAATCAACCGAAACCAAATTGGGTTCTATTTTTTTTTTTGCTTTCTTCTTTTCTCAGATTAGGCCAAGAAACAAGCCTTCTAGGTCCTTAATGGCATATTCTGAAGGGGGGGAAAGAACAAAACTCATGAGGAGGGGTTTTAATTGAGTTAGTATTCTCAAATCACTATTGCAGTTTTGAGCTTAGATTCTTGCTGAAGTTTAGCTCAATTTTCAACTTATACGTAAAGCTCGACTTGATTCGTCCGTTCTTGTATTACGCTCGAATTTTGGATATTAATTTAAAATATATACTGTCAATGAAATTTCAAGTAAAAACTCTCCTGATTATCCTTATTAGAAATCAATTATCTTATTCATTAAATTAAGGATGTTACTTTGTTATATTTTCACTATGAAAAACATTTATCTATTTTATTATAAACACAAGAAACTCAAGTGCTCACTCAGTTTAAATATTAAACGAGATTTCAAATTTGAATAAATTCGATCTATTTTCTAACACAAATAAACTTGAAAGGATGGAAATACTTCAAGTCCAAATCGAACGGATCCGTTTATGATTTGAACTCGACTTTAACAACCCTGATCATGATTATAAAAACATAAATTTATGAGAACAACAGACTGGTAAACTCCAAGTGGTGAGTTTGTTAAATACAAACTAGCAAGAACATGGTTATAAAAAATATAAAAAAAAAAAAAAATTACTATCATACAAAACTCCAGGCGTGCAAATTTGCATGCGTCAGTTGTAGTGTGTAATATAGGAATCAAAGATGAGAGTGAAATAGCAAGTCCGAAAAAAAAAAACGATTGAATAATATGAAGCTAACTAACACCGAATTTACTACATGTTAGCAATTGTAGTTTATAGTGCATGCGTGCTTCAATCATCATACTAATTGTTGTCTGTTTTATACATGACAAGACTAATTGCTTATTTTTTTGCCTAACACTGACATAAATGGTGTTGAAGAGTATGGTAGATTTGAATTCGTGATGATTTATGGGTTGGATAATTAATTGTCAATGATTGAAGAGGCCTGCGAATCATTGCACTAGCATCCTTTCACATGCAACTTCGAGTCACAAGAGGAGGAGAGATAGAGAGAAAATTTTAGATGAATAAAAAATAAAAAAACAGTTATAGTACGAATACATCTTGACCCTTTTTTTCAGTCTTGTTTGAAAAAAAAAAAATTAAATACTCAGAATGCTTACATAGTTTGTGGGATGAGATGATCTTTTCGAAACTCGGAGAATATCGCTTCTCATCTTGGGTAATTTGTATTTGTTTCATTATATGTTTATTTTGTTTGTAAATAATGAGAAATTGACTCGTAAAATAGTCAATCTTATCGGATTTTTCCTCAAAAAGATAAATCAGTCACCGTATATTTCTCATGATGGTCGTCACATTTTTGGAGAAATTGAGAAAGAAAAAATAAATTAGAAGAAATTTGAACCACATATGCCATTCCATCCCATGTGCCTGAAGCTTTTTACTTTTTACACAATTCCTCTTGTGAAAAGGACAATTGTAGTTGCAGGGTCCACCGCGGGAAGAACACGTGACTATCCACTTCATGGGAATCTTTATCCCTTCAGGTTTTATCTACACCTTGGTTTAGTTCTGGCCATTCTTTTCTTCTCTTTTTTTTGTCTTTTACAAGATATTCAAACTTATTCCGACTATTTCTTCGAACTCTGAGATCGACTACTATAATTTAAGTTAATTTAAAGACATATCTCCTTAAAAATAAGAAATATTGAACCCGAGACCTCTTGATTGCAAGAGACCACCCTAAGAATTAGTTCTGGCTATTCAAGACATAATTGATGTCTCTAAAATTTCAATAGCTGACAAAAATTTAGCATTATACAAGTTGATTCTAAACCCACTTTCTCAACCACATCTTGGATTTATATGCAATTATTTCCAAAACCATGGCATGCTTCTTTTGTATCATGATGTATGTTTGTTAATTTTTTAGGAAAATTTGATAGCCATGGGCCCTTTTTTTGATAGGTCCTTCACTGCCAAACATGTGCCTCAGCTCTATGTTTTTTGGTCTATCCTTATCTCTATATTAGAAAAGTTAAAGAGTGATAGTAAATGCTTGTATATTTAACTAATATATTACAAGTTTGAAATAAAAAATGGGTATTCCTAAAATGCAGGTAACACTAAATTTAATTATTTTAGACATATTCTGCAAATATGACATAAAATCAATATAGTATTAGTGAATTTGTGTTTGGTCTTAATGGGCTCAAATGATAAATGGATGAACATGTTAAAATTCCTGAATAAGTGAATCAACATGAATCTAGATTCAGTTGTTTACCAATTATCTCTCTCAAAGTCTGCTATAGACATAAGATATGCATGAGAACCAATTGTTATTTAAGTCCAGTGAAATGTTTCAAATGAATCCAATGGGACATGCCCAAGCTTGGTTGGCCCAATTCATCTGATGAAATGATAAGCAGTATTGGCTTAGACTCCTTAGAGTGAGATGCTTGTCACATGTCAACAAGGAGGAAATGGAGACATAGACAAAATGTGTTAGCAGAAATGCCAAAGGTTGATAAGTATGACTTTATGTCTCCATGTGTTTCTTGTTGTCTTCCTTGTTGGAATTGCCTCATTCTCCTGCACAAGAGCCACCACCTACCGTACCTTCATAACTTTGTTCTCTCTTGTTGCTATATCAAGGATGTGGGGTGGGGTGGGGGTGGGGAGACCAAACCTTATACATGCTGCTTATTGCCTATATCAATCTTGAAGTCGCTGTTGCTGCAAGCAAAACACTAGCCGATTCATGATCAGTGTTTCTTAGCACTGCATTGCATAGAATTGCAAGACAAAATATGGACCTTTCTGTGTCTGCAATACTGAACAACAAATAGGAAGTTGAAAGACTTGGTATGTCATTTCGCGATAATTTCTCCAAGTTTTGTAGAAGAAAACTGGATGTGGAAGTATCTTAGGGCTGATGACATTGTGTAAATGCGATAAAGCAATGAAACGTTATAAGTTGCATAGTTTGCCGTATTAGCAAAAAACCCTACAGGTTTGAATGTCAAAGAGCGCTTCAGCCACAGTAAAAAATCAACCTCATAGACCTATAAGTCCAGACTTCCACAGATTCTTAAGACCCAATAACATTGTAAGTCCAAGGATCAAATTTACTCATGAAACTCGGCCACAAACTTGCATACAACACCCCCCCCCCCTCCCCCACATACACACAACAGATAATAACAACAAAAGATAGTTTTCACATGCCAATAACATTTTCTTGTTAGGCACGAAGAGCTTACTTACATCACGAGGGAGCTAGCACAGTTGCTGCAACCCAAAGACCTAGGCATTAACCGTTGCGGTACATAGCTGTTGGGCATAAATAAAATGTTAGGAAGAGTGAGATTTACAACCACACTATTAAAATTTTGTCCAGATAAATAAGTAATGCATAGTATCTAAACTAAAGCAATATCATAGGAAACTAAAATGTGACACACTCAATCCAGTGTAGATGCTTTAACAATGTTTCCTGGTACAATATATGGACACATCCGAAACAAATAAGCTGGCGGACCAAAACCTTGTTGCATGCCCTACATTGGAAGGATCCACACATTAATGTCACTTTGAATGTTACACTTACAGGAAAATATGCAACCAAACAAATTGTTGTTCAGACCTCTTTCTGCCTTGGAACATTCATTGTATTGGACAGGTTCAACATCAATGAGTTGTTTGGCTAACTACTTTCGACCAGACAAATATGCATAAACACGAAAGCAAATTCATGGGAGCCTCATTTAAGAGACTTCTATGACATGTTTTGTACTAAAAACACAAAATCAAATGAATAAACAGTAACATCTACCCATTTAAATGTTGGCCTACTTGTGGACAGACCACGCGTACAAGGCATGCCGACCATACAAACAAAACATTTTCATGGGCTCTCTTTATTGCTATCAGCATTACTTTGCAGCATAGTTTCAATCAAGAAAACCAAATTGCTTGCCTGATGCGGGACAATGGTGAGCACCAGTAAATTTTTTTGTGCATGTTGTATCCTCATGGTCCACATTCTTCACTAAAGCATAATTGACTTCTAAAATTTTCTTTCAATTTTGCTGGATTCTATGAATATACAGTCCTCAAGAACATTTCACCACTTAAGACCATATGCAAACTCCTCCCTATTGTTACAGTACCCAACTAGCGGGGGAGCACAAGAAAAACATTTTTCTATCCTCAGACATCAAAAGTTCAGATACAGTAAAGTATTAAGCAATTGAAAAAATTAATAATATGCTGCTAATACTGTGCTCTTAAGTAATTTTCTGGGTAAAAAAAAGGTGCTAACAAGGTTCATGCTACAAACTACTCTCGAATTGAAATCTACTAAATATTAATGCAAATGATCTCTTTTGTCAACCTAAGGCAATGTGAGTGCCTGTGGACATCAAGAGTGGGGCTGATGAGCTGATAATTTTCGCATGTTTCCACAGCCCAAGAATGAAATATGCACTGGGTATAAAATCGCCTTGGTCATCCTAAGACAGTAAGATTGCTTGCAGACATATAATGAGGTAGATTAGCCACCAAAAAGATGCACCCTAAAAAATTATTCAGGCAAGAAATTTCCAGCAAGCAAACGTTATATTTGCAGTAAGCATGTGTTAGATCATGAACTAGAGACTTAATCGATACAGTTAAACATCTATCTGGTTCTTACCCATCAGATGATATGCAAATGCACGAGTTACCTTTGTCTGATTTCTTCTATCGTGCAGTTCCCAGTCACCATAGACATATTGTAGAACAGGCAACTATTTAATTATCCCACACTAAGGCAGGCATTGTTCGGTAATTCAGTTTTCTCTACCTTGTAACTAAAGACAATGGATAGCAGCTATAAGCAGCAAGGCCAACTGTAAACAATAATGAAGATTCTGTTTTCAGAGGGAAATGAAAATTTCATTCAGAAAATGGTACAATATCACAAACATCCATCTCTTATGATTTACAACTAAAAAGGTTCAGACATTCTCTCTCTACATAAACCTTCATTTTTCTCTTTGCACACCAAGTTCACCAGAACTGCCAAAACTTTGACACTATGTTCCTCCCTTAGCTGAGTTGTGGAAGCCCACCAACTGATAAACTTTCTTAGGCCGCTGGAACACAAAGGGAGGGATTGTTGTGGATGATGTTTGGATGAGAATTGTTCACCTCTTTGGCAATGGAGTTTGAAGGTGACAGAGAAGCCTCAATATCTTTGCTATCAGAGTCTGCAAATTTTAGGTAATTCTCAATGTCTTTGGTATCTGAGCTGCCTGGTCTCCTATGGAACCATTTCCTGGATGTTTTTGGCCTTCTCTCACTAATTGCAATAGCAAGATCATTCGGGAAGAGATCTCGGAGCACAAAGGCATGGACAAGAGTTGTGACAAACAGAGCTGTTACTGTGAGTGTGGCAATTATGCAGAGTATTACAGAAAGAGATTTAGTTACTACGTTTGTGATCTCGCTTGAGTACTTGATGGTTGCAATAGAAGCTCCAGTCATCGGGAAAGTGTAGGCCCACCATGCCAATGAGAACCTGTGGTATACAAATGAAAATGAACCTTAGAAAACTAGATCAAAAGAGGGATGGATTGGTATTTTCAGAGATCAAAGATAAGAAAGAATTTTGCTATACCTGAACCCTCGAAAAAAATTGGCCCTGACAGCCTGTAAATATACACAAAAAAGAAAGGATTAGCAAGAGAACTTAGTTAAAGTACAATAACCAAAGTAAATCCTAGGGCACTGAAGTCACCTAGTTTGATCTCCTTTTTTCCAATAAAGGTCCCATTTGGACACACTTGACATTGACGCACTTCTTATCAGATATACTGAACTGTAGACTGTCCTAAGAACTGCATGTTGCTTTTAACCTTTAAAAATCAGACAAAAGGCACCACACTGCTAAAACCAACTTATTGGATGTTGTAAATTGCTGCGGAAACCAAGCTACCTGGTTCTATGGTCAGGGTGGACTAATTTTCTCCTTAGCATAAAGCCAACTTGCAGCACTAGTCAGGATCAAATGTCATCTGCAATTATTTCTAGGCATGGCAATCTCCACCCTATTTTCCCACATTTTAAAAAACAGAATCCTTTCCACAAACCATGGGAAAAATAGGTTTTCCTTGCCAATCAAGTCTAATGTTATTCATATCTCTGGAGATTGAAATATGAGACTGGATAAGGGCTTGGGTAAACCACGTTAAAGGGAAATTTCTTCTAAGGCTCTTACTGCCAAGCCAAATTATGTTCATCCTGGTGAAACGTCAAGTGTCCAAGTTTCATCAACATAGTAGTCCCTCAAACAAGTACAGTATGAGGATTTTATGGAAGGGCAATTAACATGCATGGAAGACAATAAGTGAGGATGAGTATGCTTTTGGGTGACAGAGCACTAACCAGTGAGAAATAAAGAAACAAGGCAATGAAATAAGCAATCCGTGACCCATAATCAAAGGAGCCTTGAATCCTTGCCCACGCCATGGAAGCAACACTTGGTGCTGCAACAAACAGAAAGAACACCGGATGCAGCTCCTTTGGGAGTGTCTCGTTTGTTGGGAGTCTCTGGTACAGAGTCACAAATAAGACTGTATAGTGAGCCAACCCAACAGCAAAGAAGAATATAGGCCCTTCTTTTAGCCCCATTGATGCACCCAGTAATGCACCGACGAAATTACCAACTACTGACAAATGGTTTGAAGGATTCGCGACTTTTGAAAGCCTCCGCTGTCCTCCTGACATCCATTGTCCGTATATCTTAAGCTCTAGACAAAATATTGGCGCCATAAGAACAAACCACAGAGCTGCATGCAGGTTTTGAGCAATGGATGGTGGAACCCCAAGAGCTAAGAACAAAAGGGCAATCCATGGGGCAAAGAAGAAATTAACACGAATCGGGTGGTAGTACTCACGGCGAACCGCTTCAAAGTAGAAAATTACTTTCAGAGAGTAGATGAATGAAACAATAGCCACAAGAGCGACAGATATGCACCACAGGATGAGGTTTACATTCAGGCTTACATGAAGGAATTTCATGGAAGCAGAAGTGGCCAAGGTTTTCCACATAATTGCTTGGCTGCTAATGCCAAGGCAGATACCAAAGGATGAGACAGGATATCGAAGAAGAAATGGCCATTTCTTGTCTTCTGGAAGCAGTATTTCTTCTGAAGCCTGTAAAAGCGAAAATGAGAATTATATATTTCAATAACAGCAGCATTTTTATGTCAGTACCCTGCATATAGTTAATGCAAGAGAAATCAAAGCAAATTGCAGCATTCACAAATGTTGGACACGAGATACAGATGCATCATGGGAAGCAAAACTATATTCTCTACAAGCTAAGAATTCACAGAAACAAACAACTATATTCAAGGTCATCATACACATGAACAGTTGCATTATATGCATCACATGGATTAGAATCTTATTTCTTCTTTTTTGAGGTTCTCAGGAGGGGGGGGAGGGGCAGAGGAGGTTGTAAGTTTTGTAAGGGGCAAGTGTCTCCAAGTATGCAGTGCAGACATGACCACAGATCATTATGCATTTTGAAACACATAAAAATCTTTAAGAAGAAACCGTAAACTTACTCAAAATTCAAAAAATAAAGCTTGCCCTTAGACAATTAGTATATCTATGCTGGGTGGAAATTTCAAAATGTGTACAACTCACAGAATTTGGAAAAATGTTAAATTGAATGAAACTACACAAAAGCATTTGAAGGTATCACATACCCTGAGGGTATCCAACTCCGGTCCTTCCAAGGCATCAAAGTATCTGTCCACAGGTAAAGTCTCCATCTCTGCTCTTGGCAAATTGTTAACCTCTTGCCCAGTTTCCTGCGGCTTCCCACGCAAGTTCGATAACTGCCTCTCAAGTTTTCCAGACCATGTTTTGAAAGAATCAAACCTTTTGTCCTTCATTTTATGAATCCTTGGATTCCCTGTTGCAAATTCTGAATGGCTGGGAAATTTCCCACGTCCAACTGCCTCATCAAATACATATCCCTTTGGCATTGGCTGAGAATGAAATTTTGCTTGTTTCGCCTGTTTGGTGCTAGCAGTTTCACATGCAGTTGAAGAATTTGCAATGTCATCTTCATCATTATCTCTGAATTGAACTACTTTAGAACTCTGTAAGTGAACTTCAATAGGAGAAGATGGCATACTGATAGAAACAGAATGCGTTCTCTGGTGATGAGGAAGACCACTCTGGCTTTGGGCATCAGTTTTTTCATTCCCCTAGTGTAACAATATTAGAGACTTATTATACCAGTAAGCACTATTTATTTATCAGCAGCACATTTTACAACAAGCATGAATTCAAACTTTATGCTAGCCACAATAAACAAAGAACCAAACAACTTGCCAACAAGCAGAAACATACAAAGAAACATAGGCAGATGTTACTGATGCAATCCATAAGATATTCAAAGAAACACAAATTCGAAAATGTGAAAGATAATAGAATTGACTTTCCATCAAGACAAAGATCCATATGGAACCTTGCATTCTTATTTTAAGTTAATTTGTTAGTATTAATATTTTATATGTCTTTTTAATATTTTTTAGTGTCAAGGGTATTTTTGTAATTTCTAGAATTTCTGGAATAGGTCATACTTTTGGGTTAAATTCTAGTATTGAATATTCTAGAATTTAAAGTCCTAGTTTTAGTTAATTTTAGTTTTCTAATTTGTAGGGACCTAATGTCTTTGAAGTTCTAGAGACTTTGGAATCCTAATCTTTTGGGATTATGATTACTTATAACTCTATATATAGTTAGTGTTACTTTTAATAATAGATGAAGAGAGATATTCAGAATTTTGAGCAATTATATGTTTCATGAGTTGTGTGATGTAATTCTAATCCTGGGTGTGATACCTACGAAAACCTAGGAGTGATTCCTAACCAAAATTACTGTTCACGCTACTGTTTACAGCCCCATTACTGTTCACGAGTACTGTTCACAGTCCCTAAACAGTCCCTATTTTCTATTTTACAAAGTTGTCCTACATCAGTTACCCTCAACTTCAAGAGAAGCTTGTTGCATATTAGGTATCCATGAGAAAATGGGGTGGCATTTGGTAAACTTTTGTGTGGTATTCTGTCCTCACCTTGTCTACAAAGGTTTGTAGACTGACCAAGACTACCCAGAGGAATATTTGTCTTGACAAGATATAAATAATTAGCAGAATTCAAAGACACTTCCCAGTTAAACTTCTTTAAATAACTCAATTTGCTTGAAAGTCCGATATCCCCTGGAAAAAACACTTCTAAAGCATTTCCAGGAATATCCCTTTACCTCATTTCTTTGAGCTTTGAATGAGGGGATTTGTTGGGAGCTATTTTTATCATCCGCCCAATCGGAACATAAGATACAGGCAAATGGCGCACCATATGTAGAACTTACAGCATATGGGAGCACCTGTACTTTTCTTTATTTGCATTTCCTACAATTCTTAGGTTCTATCCTTTTTTTTTTCTTTAATTCTTTCAATTCATTCACTCATTTTACAACTAAGCAAGTTGATCTCTGTCACAATGGACAGGTAGAGCAAAAGGAAGAGTTTTCAGCCTTTCTCTAAGCATCAAGATTGTGATAAAGGAATCATTTCAATTGTTACATTGTCTTGAAGGTGGACCTACCATTTAAGCTTAGGCTTTCAGTAAGATCTAAAAGTTTTTATCAACAATTTGAGAATTTATCTTGCCGGGTGTTGATTTGAGTTTCCCAGTCTCTCTATGTAGTTAGCTATTAATGTTTAGCATAATCAAGAACATTGTGCTCCAAAAAGAAAATGCTTAAGAAAATCAATACAATCCGCCATAGTTGTTAACACTGAACTTAAAAACCAAGCAGCTTTTTGAGCTTATTTAAGGTATTTTTAGCTCTAATTAATTAAATAAGCTGCAGCAAACATGTCAACCTATTTTCTTTAAACCTAAAAACTAGAAATTGCCTAAAATAACTTTTAATTAACCCAACCATATTATGTACAAAAGCAAAGCATCCGACATCTAAGAATGCACGCCATTTAATGTCGTCTGCAAGAGTAAGAAGTCCAGGCATAGAGTTTATGTTGATATTATTGAAAAAATTAATATGTTGGTCAGCACATCTTGCTGTATCTAAATATCCATAACATGCATATGCTGGGGAATCTGGCATAAATGAAGCTAGCCTTCATAACTCAGATCAAATAAAATTAGTAAAAGAGCTTCACAAAGTGTATGTTTCTCACAAGCTACAAAGTGTATGTTTAACTCACAATCTAGGAAGCACGGATACTCATCCGGGGTCACGGTGGCAGTGTCGGACATGTGTCCAACACGGATACATGTGTCCAACACTTAAGTGTCCTGAACAGGAGATACACATTTTTTGGCTCGGATACATGAGGGATACGTGGGGATACGGCGGGGTTTCTTCTGTTATTTAACAAAATTGAGGGGCTGAAATGAAAATAAAAAAAGAAAGAAAGAAGAAGAAACGTCAACCAGATCTGCTTCGGCAACAACGAGAAGAGGAAGAGAAGAAGAACAAAAGGAGGAGGAGAGGGAAGAGTCCATACCAGCGACTGTGATCTGCTTCTGCCTGATGTGTATCCACCCATACAGTTCTCCATACCTGCTGCTGCTTGTTGTGTTGTTAATTTTATAAGGTTGGGGTTTTAGGATTTTCAAATTTTGGGAGATATTTGGGGGATTAGATATTTTGCAGATATTTTAGTGTTTTAGGTTTGGATCTATCTCCAGATCTGCCGAATCAAATTATTAAAGTTATGTCCCCGTATCCGTGCTTCCTAGCTCACAAGCCATCTCAATCTTAGTTCTTAATACAGGAGCATGTTGATGTAGCCTGCTTATACACAACCCCAGCCTCAATTACTACTAATCAGGACATTTACATATAGAATGGAGATTATCTAGGCATGTTAAACTTAACCGGTCTATGCCCTTAAAAACATGCCTAGAGTGTGACGAATGTGTGCACCATTTCAATAGACAACAGAAAAGTAGTAGCTTACTGTAGTCGAGGGGCTGATATGATGTTGATCATTCAAATTATTGGCCTCGTTAATGCTATCAAATCCAGCCACTTCATGTGCAGTAATTATTTTGATGAGTGATGGAAGTACTACAGGGGAAACCTGCTTTCTTGTATCCAGGTGTTCTCTGCTTTCCATTGCAAACCAACTTTCCCTATTAATGCAAAAAAAAATGTTAGACAGGGAGTCTGTGAAAGAAGTTTTATACAAGGTAGAAAAGTGGATACCTTGCATTTATACTTGGAATATCTATGTTGTTAGTGATTACGATAATCATCTCCATTATTACTACTCATCTGGAGTTGAGTATAGAATTTATATTTTATCTGTCAATTTGTTTTATCTAGTAGAAATCTGATGCACTGGACAAAATTATCCATTAAAAATCCTTTGATTTGTTTAAAAATAATTCAAATAAAATCAATTAGTTCAAAAAAAAAAAAATTAGAAGGAAAAACAAAGAGGGCAAGAGAGAGCCAGTCATCCTGCTGGACACCCCAAATGGTATACTCCACACCACAACTTATATTACAACATTAGAATTCTCCTATACCAAAAGAACTACTCTAACCAACTCAGATCTAAGCACTCATTATATACTGAACTACAGAACTTTGTTTGTAATAAAATCCATATATCTATAGCATGCAAAAACATGGATATAGATGCACAATAATAGTAACTGATTTTTCCATTAAAAGTAGATTAAAAAGAAAAGGAAGAAGAACCTCAAGAGTTTAACCTCCAGTAGTACAATGCTCACTGATTGCTGATGATGTCAGAAACAATCACGAACTCCAAACCCAATTGTAATCTACCATGCAAGCTACAGCGGCAATTGGGTTGATAGAAGATTTGAGTTCAACCCAAGCACCAAAAATAATGCCCTGTTCTTTCCACTGGATGAAACAAGTTTCAAAAGAACTCTGACTGAGGGCATATCTTTCAAGAATCAGTGATAAAGAAGAAAGATGCAACACAAGTTATACAGAATTAGGATGCAGATTGAATATAGGCATGCAATGGTCTCTCTTTTTTGTCAACTGGATGCAATGGTCCCCTCTTTTTTTTTTTTTTCCAACTGGATGCAATGGTCTCTCAAGCACCGAGAAACTGGACTTCTTTGGCAATATATACAGCTGCTTTATCTGAAAATGACACATCCATTCAACATCAAGAGACAGACCAGGCAAGAAAAAAAAAAAAGAAAAGCAGAGAAATTTGCGATTAAATAGAATTGTAGTTGAACAGAGCAACTACCGGCTTGAAGTTTTTGTCCTGAACATAGCTTTTGTATGCCTTATTTTTTTGTCAAAATATTAGGTTTTGACTGGAATGCTAGACAACTATAAGCAGAATCACATACGTAGAAAATATATGAAGTATTACCGACTGTAAAAATAAATGGAAGAAGTCAGCATCAAAATCTCAAGAATGACGATACACTATGACCGGTGAGAGATACGATACACTAAAAAGGAAGAATTACCGACTGTAAAAGCAATGGAAGAAGTATTACCGACTGTAGTAATTTTTTTACTAAAGTTACACGTCTCTCTTCCTATGACTTTTTTTATGCTAAAACTTGAGATGGTTATTTCAACATTGTGAGACAAAATAATAATCTTCACTGCAATGTGAAATAATATTCTGTCTCTTTCAGATAAAATAGACGTCGTAGACAACAACCATTTCAGAGTTGAAAATAAAGGAAGGTCAGTTTTCATGTGAAGAGATTTTTTTTAGTGCAAAGGCCGATTCAATACCTTAATGCTTTGTACTTAAAAGAATGGACAACCCAAGCTTGTTGACAAAATTATGATTCCAGAGCTTTCCAAACCATTGGAATAACAAAAGAAAACAACTAATGTCAAAGAGTTAAATACATCTACAGGGTATCAAAAGATGCCAGCAAACACCTGGTTGGGATCCAATTTAAACTGTTAGGTATGTATGTGGCAAATGAAAAAAAATAATCAAGAAGACAGACATGGCTGTCTAGATTTAAAGCATTTCATCAAACACCACCTAGCTGTCCAACCATTTTGAAAACTACACGTTCATACAATAACTAATTAAGAAATTCGAATTCAAATTCAAATTGAATAAAAATGGCTCATTTTGTGATTACCTCATGAAATTGATGGCAATAATTTTCAAAGAAAGAATCGACGTATCTTCGCACCGTCGATTCCGGGGCTTCCTGGAACATCAAACACAAAACCAGCAACAACAACCACATCAATGAATCAAACAAGTAATGCACAAATTTATATAGATTCTAGATCATTAGTGGTAGTCCCCACATACGGCAAAGTCAAACCGATGCAATATTAAATATGTACACACACACACACACAATATATATATATATATTATTATACATTAGGTCTTATCTGACCCACCTGTCTGACGACACAAGAGGACACCTTTTTGAGACAACCAATCGCAATGTGGGTCTTAGAAACTCTCTGCTTCGGAGAATGTTGCTTTTTTGTTTTTTTGGTCAGGGAGAATGTTGCTTAATCTCGCAAAACCTTGCCATTTTTCGTTGATCGCAGCTTAAAACCATCGTCCCCGTAAATGACGGAAACGGATTATATAAAACTAATTTGAATTTGAATCAAGATAATCACGGTTTAGTATTATAATCAGAATTAACAAAAAAACAAAAGGGAAGAAACTGCGTGGTTGCATAGGACTCAACTGGATCGAAGCTGTAAGCTCAGCTTACGAAATTTTTGAACATGTGCGTTCGTGTAAGGAGAGAGAGTAGAAAAAACATAAATGTAGTGCGAATCTGACTAGATTGTAGCTTTATAGGAAGCGAAAATTCATTGAATAGAGACCTAATACCTAATTTTCCAAAACGCTTATACGAACAGCAGATCAGATAGAGAAACCACGGAGTGGGTGGTCCGGTGGATACGAACTGAATTTCGTTGGAAATTCGGATTTTATGCTCCGCGATAGGAAGATAGAAAGTTGACAAGGATAGAAAATTAGAAAATAAATAAAATAACATGTTTGACAAGAAAAGAAAATAGGAATAATGAAAAAGTGGATAAATTAATTTTTCTTCCAACTCACTAAAAATAATTCTTTTAAAATTGAAAAGAAAGTGGATAAAAAATTAATTATTTGTGTTGAAATATATCTTATTTATCTATATATTTTTGAATATATACATATATTATGTATATATTAATTTTATATAAAAATATAATGATAAAATATATATTTAAAAAAAATTTAAAAAAAAAATTTCTACTTTAACTAGGGGTAAAAATTATCGACTCAGTACGATGACACGACTTGAACTCAACACAAATTTTATTACACGAACTTTAAAATGACTTGACACGCGAATATGAAATATAAAAGGCTCATCTATATAATAAAGTAGAACGAATTTGAATTTTAGAGACAAAAAGTGGTTTAGATCGTTTTGTGACAAAAAAAAACATCATATAATGGATGACGTCATTTCAAATTGTCTCGAGTTATTGACGTCTCAAATCGTTTTAATCTGACGTACCACATTAACCCTTTTGAAATATTTTTGTTACTCAAAATTTATAGTTTTCAAAATTGATATTCCAAATTTAATTCGCCCAAATCTTTTCTTTAAATCAAACAAATATATCTCTCTCATTCATCTGTATCTCTCTCTCTCACGCACAATTCACGCAAAACGGATCAATTTTTCACAATATTTTCTTATGTATCTCACAAAAATATTAGATAGTATCTAATTGATGTAAATATTGCATCTCTCTATAGATAGATACTATATATTACAAAGAGATAATATATTACGAAAATATTTCTCTATATCTTTCTCTGAAGGAATATTATATAATAAATATTAGATAGATAGTATATATCACGAAAATATTCATCTGTATCTTTTTCCTTAATTCAAGCAATACTACAAACACGAATTATACAAATTCAATAGTTAATTAAAAAAAATATGACTTGCAAAAAATTTAATTTTAAAAAAATATGCTTAACATGTAAAATATACAAGATTAAATTTAATGTATTAGGTAACTCAGATATCAAGAGATATATTAAAGAAAATATATTTAACATTTAAAATATACAAAATTAAATTCATATACAAACACAAATCATACAAATTTCATATTTAGTGAACAACACAAAACAACAATATTTACTAAATAATTCAAATTTAAATACATACAAAATTACAAGCGAAAGAAACAATACGAAATTATAAACAATACCATAAACACGAATTATACAAATTCAATATTTAATGAACAACACGAAATAACAATTTTACTAAATAATCCAATACTAAATAACGTTTAGTTTTAAAAAATATATTAAGAATATAAATAATTCAAAAAAATGATATAAAATTTAAAGTATTACTATAAACTCGAATTATAAAAATTCAATAGCAATAGTCAATTTTATTTTTTTTCATAATCAATAAAAAAAACATAACTTGCAAAATATCTAATTTAACAAATAAAATATGTTTAACATGTAAAATATATAAGATTAAATTCAAATTATTTGACAACTCAGATATCAAAAGATATATTAAAGAAAATATGTTTAACATTTAAAATATACAAAATTAAATTCATATATAAATACGAATCATACAAATTTAATTTTTAGTGAACAACATAGAGTAACAATATTTATTAAATAATCCAAATCTAAATACCCGAGAAAAATGATACAAAATTACAAATAAGA